TAGCGGCGAAAATCGCGATTTTTGGCCGCTAGCGGCGAAAATCGCACGGTTTTTGGCCGCTAGCGGCGAAAATCGCGCTATTTTTGGCCGGTAGCTGCGAAAATCGCGCGATTTTTGCCCGCCAGCTGCGAAAATCGCATGGTTTTTGGCCGCTAGCGGCGAAAATCGCGCGGTTTTTGGCCGGTAGCGGCGAAAATCGCGCGATTTTTGGCCGCTAGCGGCGAAAATCGCGCGATTTTTGGCCGCTAGCGGCGAAAATCGCGCGATTTTTGGCCGCCAGCTGCGAAAATCGCACGGTTTTTGGCCGCTAGCGGCGAAAATCACGCGGTTTTTGGCCAGTAGCGGCGAAAATCGCGCGATTTTTGGCCGCTAGCGGCGAAAATCGCATGGTTTTTGGCCGCTAGCGGCGAAAATCGCGCGGTTTTTGGAAGGTAGCGGCAAAATTCGCGCGATTTTTGCCCGCCAGCTGCAAAAATCGCATGGTTTTTGGCCGCTAGCGTCGAAAATAGCGCGGTTTTCGGCCGTTAGCGGCAAAAATCGCCCGATTTTTGGCCGCTAGCGGCGAAAATCGCACGGTTTTTGGCCGCTAGCGGCGAAAATCGCGCTATTTTTGGCCGGTAGCGGCGAAAATCGCGATTTTTGCCCGCCAGCTGCGAAAATCGCATGGTTTTTGGCCGCTAGCGGCGAAAATCGCGCGGTTTTTGGCCGGTAGCGGCGAAAATCGCGATATTTTTGCCCGCTAGCTGCGAAAATCGCATAGTTTTTGGCCGCTAGCGGCGAAAATCGCGCGATTTTTGCCCGCTAGCGGCGAAAAATTTTTTCGCGAAAATCGCATTTTTGGCCGCTAGCGGCGAAAATCGCGCGATTTTTGGCCGTTAGCGGCAAAAATCGCGCGATTTTTGGCCGCTAGCGGCGAAAATCGCACGGTTTTTGGCCGCTAGCGGCGAAAATCGCGCGGTTTTTGGCAGGTAGCGGCGAAAATCACGCGATTTTTGCCCGCCAGCTGCGAAAATCGCATGGTTTTTGGCCGCTAGCGGCGAAAATCGCGCGATTTTTGGCCGGTAGCGGCGAAAATCGCGCGATTTTTGCCCGCCAGCTGCAAAAATCGCATGGTTTTTGGCCGCTAGCGGCGAAAATCGCGCGGTTTTTGGCCGTTAGCGGCGAAAATCGCCCGATTTTTGGCCGCTAGCGGCGAAAATCGCACGGTTTTTGGCCGCTAGCGGCAAAAATCGCGCTATTTTTGGCCGCTAGCGGCGAAAATCGCGATTTTTGGCCGACAGCTGCGAAAATCGCGCGGTTTTTGGCCGCTAGCGGCGAAAATCGGTTTTTGGCCGCTAGCGGCGAAAATCGCGCTATTTTTGGCCGGTAGCGGCGAAAATCGCGATTTTTGCCCGCCAGCTGCGAAAATCGCATGTTTTTGGCCGCTAGCGGCGAAAATCGCGCGGTTTTTGGCCGGTAGCGGCGAAAATCGCGCTATTTTTGCCCGCCAGCTGCAAAAATCGCATAGTTTCTGGCCGCTAGCGGCGAAAATCGCGCGAAAATTTTTGGCCGCTAGCGGCGAAAATTGCACGATTTTTGGCCGCTAGCGGCGAAAATCGCGCGATTTTTGGCCGGTAGCGGCGAAAATAGCGATTTTTGGCCGCTAGCGGCGAAAATCGCGCGATTTTTGGCCGCTAGCGGCGAAAATCGCGTCGGTTTTTGGCAGGTAGCGGCGAAATTCGCCCGATTTTTGCCCGCCAGCTGCAAAAATCGCATGGTTTTGGCCGCTAGCGGCGAAAATCGCGCGATTTTTGGCCGCTAGCGGCGAAAATCGCGCGATTTTTGGCCGCTAGCGGCGAAAATCGCACGGTTTTTGGCCGCTAGCGGCGAAAATCGCGCTATTTTTGGCCGGTAGCGGCGAAAATCGCGATTTTTGCCCGCCAGCTGCAAAAATCGCATAGTTTTTGGCCGCTAGCGGCGAAAATCGCGCGATTTTTGGCCGCTAGCGGCGAAAATTCGCATATTTTTGCCCAGCTGCGAAAATCGCATTTTTTGGCCGCTAGCGGCGAAAATCGCACGATTTTTGGCCGCTAGCGGCGAAAATCGCCCCATTTTTGGCCGCTAGCGGCGAAAATCGCCCTTTTTTTGGCCGCTAGCGGCGAAAATCGGTCGATTTTTGGCAGGTAGCGGCGAAATTCGCGCGATTTTTGCCCGCCAGCTGCAAAAATCGCATGGTTTCTGGCCGCTAGCGGCGAAAATCGCGCGATTTTTCGGCCGTTAGCGGCAAAAATCGCCCGATTTTTGGCCGCTAGCGGCGAAAATCGCACGGTTTTTGGCCGCTAGCGGCGAAAATCGCGCGATTTTTGGCGGTAGGTAGCGGCGAAAATGCGAAAATCGCGATTTTTGGCCGCCAGCTGCGAAAATCGCGCGGTTTTTGGCCGCTAGCGGCGAAAATCGCGCTATTTTTGGCCGGTAGCGGCGAAAATCGCGCGATTTTTGCCCGCCAGCTGCGAAAATCGCATGGTTTTTGGCCGCTAGCGGCGAAAATCGCGCGGTTTTTGGCCGTTAGCGGCGAAAATCGCGCGATTTTTGGCCGCTAGCTGAAAAATCGCACGGTTTTTGGCCGTATACTAGGCACTTTACATCTATGGTGAGTCGTCCAATTACTAGTCTTGCTCTACACCCATCCAACTGGGCGGCAGCTTAACAGTCACGTGCTCCACACCCACCCAACTGGGCGGCAGCTTTACAGTCATGTGCTCCACACCCACCCAACTGGGCGGCAGCTTAACAGTCATGTGCTCCACACCCACCCAACTGGGCGGCAGCTTAACAGTCATGTGCTCCACACCCACCCAACTGGGCGGCAGCTTAACAGTCATGTGCTCCACACCCACCCAACTGGGCGGCAGCTTAACAGTCATGTGCTCCACACCCACCCAACTGGGCGGCAGCTTTACAGTCATGTGCTCCACACCCACCCAACTGGGCGGCAGCTTAACAGTCATGTGCTCCACACCCACCCAACTGGGCGGCAGCTTAACAGTCATGTGCTCCACACCCACCCAACTGGGCGGCAGCTTAACAGTCATGTGCTTCACACCCACCCAACTGGGCGGCAGCTTAACAGTCATGTGCTCCACACCCACCCAACTGGGCGGCAGCTTAACAGTCATGTGCTCCACACCCACCCAACTGGGCGGCAGCTTAACAGTCATGTGCTCCACACCCACCCAAATGGGCGGCAGCTTTACAGTCATGTGCTCCACACCCACCCAACTGGGCGGCAGCTTAACAGTCATGTGCTCCACACCCACCCAACTGGGCGGCAGCTTTACAGTCATGTGCTCCACACCCAACCAACTGGGCGGCAGCTTAACAGTCATGTGCTCCACACCCACCCAACCCCAACTGGGCGACGGCTTTACAATCATTTGCATGAATTACTTACAGTAAGCAAATTTTAGATACTTCGCTAAGATTTCGGGCAGCACATCATTATAAATGAAGTACTTACACTTTTCTTGGACACCAATGATGGTGTTATCTCTGAATTCCGCGATTTTTTTTAAATTCCAGTACTGTATATAATGACGCAAAGTATGCGAATAGTTCTGCAATAGTGATCCTATCCTGCGTCATAATTTACATACATATCTACTTCTGTTTTGTGTATTAAAATTACTACATTTTTATGTTAATTTATTTCTGTAAATGATGATGATGATAAATTTCAATAAGTGTAAGAACATAAGAACGGAAACTGGTCGCGTAAATGGAAATGGTTGGGTACATTTCCTTTCACCTACCTAATGCGAATATTCATGTGTCCGGACACTGGCGATGGTGTGGTATTGCCTATTTATTTGACCATATCTTTGCTTTCATTTAAGATATGTTTTCCTTCAAATGTATTTACATTATCGTCTACATCTGCCTTTATTCTGAAATAAAAACCTTTGACGTTACTTTGCATATATGTACATTAATTATAAAATTGATTGGCTTGTGTGCAGGCCTTCACACTCCCTGAGCGAGCCATCAAGTAACTATAAAAAGGCATATATCTTCACTTTCACTTCAGTTATATTTATACCAAAGTATTAACATGCAGCTTATATGTCTTTCTGATGACATAAAAAACTTCGTTTTTTACAATATATAGATTCAATTAACATTGATTTTCAAAAGGTCATAGTTCCCATCGAAAGGGAGAGCGTCGGCCAAGAAGCCTTGTTTAAAATATGAATATTTTTCCTCTCTAATAAGGTATAATCTCTGTGATGCATTAACACAAACTATTTTATATCTGCCTTTCTGATAACATATATAAATATAATCTTTATTTGTGAATATTTGTTAATTAAGCAATATATCAGAGAGCGTGTAGGGTTCGGTGTTCTATGAACGAAAAGGACTGGAGTAGTTTAAATAGCGAACGCATACCAACGAATAACGCTAGTATCTATATAACAAATTTATTGTCATGTGGAATTGATTTAACTTCCAGACACTTTTTTTTAATAAATATTAAATATTTTGTGGCTGTTTATGAAAAATATTATTATAAATACACATTCTACTTGTTAATATTACCAATTAAATTTGCGACAATTTGAGCCATGAAATACGACGACTGGATCACTGTGTACAGGAGGCTGTTATGGCAGCAAACACTCTCCAGGCGACCATATATCTTGGATAAGTCGCTCCACACTTCCAAGCGACACTTGGAAGTGTCGCTTGGACCGTCGACTTCCTATGGCGTCACCTCTCACATATTTACGTCTCATTTCGTTATGAAATTAGATTATTTCAGAGTAAAAATAGGTTTGATCATGTTCTACGTGTAGCACCAGCATTATAGTAAGTAAATATACCATATTTCTTCATTACTTACGTAATGCTAATACGATTTGGGTAGTTTTGGCCTGATTTGGGTCGATTTGGGTAATTCTATGGACCCCTTGTTTCTTGTGATTGATTGATGAGGATTAAGCCACCCAAAAGGTAGCACGGGCATGAATAGCCCGTAAGTGGTGTTCTTGTTAGTCACAGTTAATTTTTGTTATTGAGGCTGGCATTTTATCCCCTGATTCCATGTATAACTAACCATCCTGTGAGATGGGAATATTTAATGAACTTATAGCTAGTATATATTTGATATACACTGTGTAATCTTTCATATAGAATAGGGTAGTAGCACATTACTGTGTATACCTAAGCTTGTTAATAATAACAAAAAAAAAAGTTAGTTTCTATCGATAGGGAGAGCGATGGTTCAAAAATCCTTCTTTAAAATATGAATATCTTTCCTATCTCACTAATCTAATCTCTGTGATTAAAATGCAAAATTGACTTTGTCACTGCCTTTTTGATAACGTATACAATCATAAGCTTATTTGTGAATCTCTATTAAACAGTAAATCAGAGAGCGTGTAAGGTTCCGTGTTCCATGTCCGAAGAAACAGGGAGATTTTACATAAATACAGTACATGATAGTTTAAGTAGCGAACGCATACCAACAAATAACGATTAGTATCTATAACAAAAATATTGTTCTATGGAGTTCATTTAACTTCCAACCATGTATTTTTAAATAATCTTTAACGTTTTCTGGCTAGTTATGTTAGATTTGATTAAAAATACGCATTCTACTTGTTAATATCGTTAGATTTGATTAAGAATACGCATTCTACTTGTTAATATCGTTAGATTTGATTAAAAATACGCATTCTACTTGTTAACATCATAAATTAAATTTGCGATAATTTGAGCAGAGAAGTTCGACGACTGGATCACTGTGTACAGAAGGTTGATATTCCAGCAAACACTTTCCAGAGAGCAATATATCTTGGATAAGTCGCTCCACGATATTGTTGCTTGGACCATCGACTTCCTTTGATATTACATATTTACATCTTATTTTGTTATGAAATGATATTTTTTCAGAGTAAAATTATGTTTTCTCATTTTCTGCATCCAGCATCCACATTATAGTGAGTAAATATACCATATTACTTCATTGCTTACGTAATGCTAGGAAGGTTTGAGTAGCTTTGGGTCTTTAGTGGACAGAATCTCCAATAGATGGGGCGAGAGTCGCCCCATCTCTCTCGACCGGGCGGGACTCGAAACTTAAATTAAAATTGCTATATCATTGGTCTCCAACATGATATATTTCCTTTGATGCACTCACAATAACGATTATAGCTCTGTCTTTCTGGAGGCATGTAATATTTTAGGCTTTATTAGCGTATCTTTGTTAATTACACAACATATTGGAAAGTGTGTAGGCGTCTGCACTCCATGACCGAAAAGCTACTGAACGCCACTTAAAAACATATATATCTTCACTTGAGCTTTAAATATGACTAATGTAATGTATTTAAAATAAAGCTTATATTTCTATCCTTCTTAAGACGTGTAAAACATTTGTGTTTATTAACGAATTTACGTAAAATAAACATTCTTCTGAGAGAGTTGCTCTGTCGCTCAGTCTATGCCGGGGTCGGAGCTCGGCGATTATTAAAATACATGAATCTTCATTAGAACTTTAATTATGTCTATGATAAAGTGTTTAAAATGAGCCTTATATTCCTATCTTTCTTGAGGCATATAAAAAATTTACGATTATTTACTAATTTACGTGAAATAAGCATTGTTCTGAGAGAGTTGCTCCGTCGATCGATCTGCCCGGAGTCGGAGCTTGGCTATTATAAAAGAGTATACGTATCTTCGCTTTAAATTTAAATATGCCCATGGTAAGGTATTTAGAACGAAGCTTATATATCTGTCTTTCTTGTGACATATAAAACTCTTACGTTTATTAAGGAATCTGCGTGAAATAGGCATGGTTCTGAGATGAATGCTGCGGTTTTAGAGTTTGACGAGCGATGAAAACTGCCACTTTTATACAACTACAAATATCTTCGGTTTTACTTAAAATATTTGTCTGGTAGAGGTTTTACATATAGATCGCGTTTCTGTCTTTCTTCTGACTAATAAATAATTTTGGTTTAATCAGTTATCAAGATGTTTTCAACAATATTCTTTCAGCGTTCGTCTTTTCCAACTTGGGCGACCCTTTTGGAAGCGCGATACTTGGGTTAACCCATCCTATAGGGATACAAGACACTCCGTACATTGACACCATCGCACACTAATATTTTTACCACTTCGGACACCAGCTTTCGACGTTTCGCATATGTGTACGTGTTCCATATTAAAACGACAATATAATGCTATTAACAATTAAAATCTTCTATTTAACAGGCATATAGTTATTAAATGAAGTTTAGTGATGTAATAGACATAATCCGGAGTTGGTAAGGACGCCGCCCGCCAGCGTAAACACAACACACCCGAATGCCTACAAACACGATACAACGCACAAAACACAACACTTCTGTCAGTTTTTGGATAAACTCCTTTTATATTTATTATGTGAGAGTTATACATGTATAAAATGATAACTATTATAGGTAAGCGCCTAATATTTAATATTAATCAATAAAAAAGAAGTCAGAAGCCACACGCCTGTCTGTACATGTCTAATTATATATATATATATATATATATATATATATATATATATATATATATATATATATATATATATATATATATATATATATATATATATATATATATATATATATATATATATATATATATATATATATATATATATATATATATATATATATATATATATATATATATATATATATATATATATATATATATATATATATATATATATATATATATATATATATATATATAATTATACCAGTATAATCTAATAATATATACTGGTCTAATAAAATAATTAGACCAGTTAATACTCTCACTCGTTGTGTTAGGATATGTTAGCTTGATAAAACTGACTGTTCATTGTTGAGAAATGTGTTAAAAAACAATATATCTGACATTATCAAGACTGTAGCTTGCTTAGCAAAAGGAACTTTTTTTAAATTTGGGTTCAGTTTAACTACCGCTCAATGGATGAGTAATTGGGGCATAATAAAGGCACTAAGCTGATAAAATGAAAGATGGGAAAACAACATTAGAGAGATAAACTCGAGAGACGTTTTCATGTTAACCCGAAAATTATTTGAGGAGCAAGACGGACTGCGGGTCAGGCAATTGGTCTTCATGCTATCGTGATGGGGGATCAGCCATTATACGTGTTAATGACTCTTGTATAGTTGTATAGTTAAGGACAACAGGGTAAAGGGGTAATGGGCATTGTGGTTGATTGTTCTACCTGGGAATCCTCCACTGTTTTATATCTTATGTATGTATGTATGTATGTATGTATGTATGTATGTATGTATGTATGTATGTATGTATGTATGTATGTATGTATGTATGTATGTACTAACCTAGTTGTGGTTGCGGGGGTTGAACTTTGGCTCTTTGGTCCCGCCTCTCAACCGTCAATCAACTGATGTACAGATTCCTGAGCCTACTGGGCTCTGTCATATCTACATTTGAACCTGTATATGGAGTCAGCCTCCACCACATTACTGCCTAATGCATTCCATTTATTAACTACTCTGACACTGAAAAGTTCTTTCTATAATCTCCCTGGCTCATTTGGGTACTCAGCTTCCACCTGTGTCCCCTTGTGCGTGTACCACATGTGTTAAATAAATATGTATGTATGTATGTATGTATGTATGTATGTATGTATGTATGTATGTATGTATGTATGTATGTATGTATGTATGTATGTATGTATGTAAGGAGAGAAAGAGATGAAGACCGAGACAGAGAAATAGATATAGACAGAGTCAGGGAGAGAATGTTAAACACAGAGACGGATAGATAAGGATATGCAAAATCAGTGAGAGAATGACAGAGATAGAGCGAGGAAAGAGACAGAGAGATAGGCTGACACAGAGAATGGCAGAAACGAGGAGAGGCAGAGACAGAGGGACAGGGACAGACGGACAGGGCCAGGGACGGGGGAACAGAGGGGGGCAGTGGGACAGAGAGGGAGACAGGGACAGAGAAGGGGACAGGGACAGAGACAGAGGGACAGGGTCAGAGAGGGGAACCGGGGGACAGAAGGAGGAGAGGGGGGCAGGAGACCAAGAGAGAGGGGACAGAGGAGAGACAGGGGATAGAAAGAGTGGGCAGGGGGACAGAGGGAGGGACAGGGACAGACAGAGAAAGACAGGAACAGGGGGGCAGAAAGGGCGGACAGGGGGACAGATAGAGGGACAGGGGGCAGAGACAGGGACAAGGGGACAGAGATGGATAGGGGGACTGGAGGAAAGGGAGGGGGACAGATGAAGGACAGCGGACAGAAAGAGTGGGCAGGGGGACAGAGAGGTACAGGGGACAGAGAGAAGGACAGGGGGACAGAGATGGACAGGGGGACATAGAGGAACAGGGGGACAGAGAGTGACAGGGGGACAGAGAGAGGGACAATGGGATAGAGAGGGACAGGGGGACAGAGAGATGGAAAGGGGGGACAAGGGGACAAAGGGAAAGGGATCGGGGACAGAGGACAGAAAATGTGGGCAAGGGGACAAAGTGAGGGACAGGGGGACAAAGATGGACAGGGGGACAGGAGGAAAGGGGGGGAGATGTATGAGGGGGAATGTTTGCGAGAGATGGAGAAGGGGTATTTAGAACGGTAAGTTAGAGAGGGGACAACTAAGGCGCATCATTGAAAAGCAAAGCAAATGAGCATCATTGCAGTAGCAGGAGCCACGCACATCTTCAGCCTGCGTTGTTGAGACATTGTCAATTAAGCGGTGTCCAATAGCAGTATCTTCGGTATTTAAGCGATACCTTAAAAAATACTGGAATTATTGAAAGATATTAATCCAGATATTAATCCCCTTGTGCAACGCACACAAGAGGCAACAGCTTCTAGCTCTACAAGCGGCAATATAAAATAGAGAATAGGCGATTGTTTTCACTCATAGTGTAATAAACCCACGGACCCACCCACCCGCTGAAGCCGTAAATACCAAGACATTACTTCCGTTTAAAATTCAGCCGGAATAATCCTCAGGTATGTGGAGGATGTGGGAGGCCTTTGATCAACCGCCGACTTCCTGCCCCGTCGACGGGGCCATCAGCCCTCAGCCAAATTCATGTGAAACATGTATGTGTGTGTATTAAATATTTTAATTTATTATTCCCAAGATTTAGCTGTTAGCTCTTGGACCCCGCCTTTCTAAGCGTCGGTTGTCTAATGTACCAACTCTCAGCCTCTTTTCCTCCATCATATCTAAACAACATATATTTTTATCTAACACACACACACACATCCCCAAGATGCAGCCTTTAGCAGCTTCCTGACTTTCAGGTTCCTATTTACTGCAAGGTGAATAGAGGCATTAGTGTGTGTATGTTTGTGTGTGTGTGTGTGTGTGTGTACGTGTGTACGTGTGTGTGTGCGTGTGTGTGTTTGTGTGTATACTCACCTAGTTGTGGTTGCGGGGGTTGAGCTCTGGCTCTTTGGTCCCACCTCTCAACTGGCAATCAACTGATGTACAGATTCCTGAACCTACTGGGCTCTATCATATCTGCATTTGAAACTGTGTATGGAGTCAGCCTCCAATGTGTAATAGTCAACAAAATAAAATCCAGCCCATCAACCGTGAAGAGCTCAGTCCCCCAGGGTACTGTGCTTGCTCCAGTACTTTTTCTCATCCTCATTTCGGACATAGACAAGAACACAACATATAGCACTGTATCATCCTTTGCAGATGACACTAGGATCTTCATGAGAGTAGGCAACATAGAGGACACGGCGAACCTCCAGTCAGATGTAGATCAGGTCTTTCTATGGGCTACAGAAAATAATATGGTGTTTAACGAAGATAAGTTCCAGCTCATGCGCTATGGAAAAAATGAAAATATAAAAACGGAAACCACGTACAAAACTCAGGCAAATCATAACATAGAACGAAAAGGCAATGTAAAGGATCTGGGTGTACTCATGTCGGAAGACCTTACCTTTAAGAACACAATAAAGTAGCCGTCACAACTGCAAGAAAAATGACAGGTTGGATAACAAGAACTTTTCACACTAGAGATGCTATACCGATGATGATACTTTTCAAAACGCTTGTGCTCTCTAGAGTGGAGTACTGCTGCACAATGACAGCACCTTTCAAAGCTGGAGAAATTACTGACCTGGAGAGCGTGCAGAGATCCTTTACTGCTAGAATCCACTCAGTAAAACATCTAAACTATTGGGACCGACTAAAGAGCCTAAAACTGTACTCCCTTGAGCGCAGGCGGGAGAGGTACATAATAATTTACACGTGGAAAATATTAGAGGGGCTGGTCCCAAACCTGCACACAGAAATAACATCACATGAGACCAGAAGACATGGCAGGATGTGCAGAATACCCCCGTTGAAAAACAGAGGTGCAACTGGTACTCTGAGAGAGAACTCTATCAACATCAGAGGTCCGAGACTGTTCAACACGCTTCCACTACACATAAGGGGCATAACTGGCCGACCCCTCACAGTGTTCAAGAGAGAACTGGATAAGCACCTCCAAAGGATACCTGATCAACCAGGCTGTGACTCATACGTCAGGCTGCGAGCAGCCGCGTCCAACAGCCTGGTTGATCAGTCCGGCAACCAGGAGGCCTGGTCGACGACCGGGCCGCGGGGACGCTAAGCCCCGGAAGCACCTCAAGGTAAGGTTGCTAAGTATTCTTATATATCTACGTCTAGCTTCCAAGACAAGCACGTTATTACTTGATTGCAAACTGTTTATTGCTCGTAGTGAGGAAAGAGGAAGTAATTAAGCAGTATTAATAGTATGAAGTATTAATAATTAATACTTCAGTGTTGTCAATAATTTCGAGAGACATGAGACAAGCCCATGACATTACTCTAACAAGAGAAATGTTGAACAAGAATACTTGCATAATAGACAAAACCCAAGATTCAAGAAGATTACAAATTCTTGAGGCAATTCACATAAGAATAGAGCGACCTACCATGAACACCCAAATCACGGAACTATTTACTCTACCCACCATGAGAGTAAGGACAAGACAAGAACATATCGATGCCAACACAGAAGACAATGTCCAACATAACAGGCCAATTACACTGGATTAATCTTTGTGTTTAGATAGGAGATGCCTCGTATGGGCCAATAAGCCTTCTGCAGCCCCTATGTTTATCCCTTATGTATCCCCCCATGTTTTCACCTTCATTGTATATATATATGTACATGTATGTATGAGAGTGTGTACATGTATATATAATATTAATAATTTTGTAACTAGTGTCACAAATTGTTATTTGCTTAGCTAAACGAACTAGAGGGTTCAGTTCCTGAACCGATTATGTGCCTCTGTAATCCTTTACACCACCGCCCACGGGATGGGTATGGGGTGCATAATAAAGAAAGAAATAGAGTTGAATTGGCCTGATTAAGACTTTATGACCATGTAATCTATGTTTTGCTCCACTACTTACTGGTTGAGTATGGGGTGCATAACAAATAATAGCCTCCTTCGGGGGCGCCTTGTTTCTAAACGTGTTAGTCTTAAATCCTTTAATCTCAAATCTTGCTACAATGTACCTCTTAATATATGTTATGTACTCTCGCAACCCAATGTACCTTCTTGTATATAAATAAATAGATTTCAACTGTAAGGGGGGTATAGTTTGCACCTTGTTATTCTAATAATGGATAAATAATTCTAATAATGGAAGCGCTAATTATATGAACAAGTGCCATGTATTTATTCAGACGAGAACAACAGCGAACACAAACCAGCGCATATACGAACGGAATGGTTTGTATGTACAAACTTCTCAGTGAACGAAGTTGTTTCTAGCCCGGTATCCGAAATTGCAGTATACGACTTGACCAGTCCCCGCAGGGTAGTACACGACACTGTCCGCCACTGTCCACGGGACTATACTGTCACTTCCCGTCCCATAGACTGGTACACAGCCAGTGTGTATTTACCTAGTTGTGTTTGCGGGGGTTGAGCTTTGCTCTTTCGGCCCGCCTCTCAACTGTCAATCAACTGTTTACTAACTACTTCTTTTTTCCCCCACACCACACACACACACTTTAGGAAGCAGGCCGTGACAGCTGACTAACTCCCAGGTACCTATTTACTGCTAGGTAACAGGGGATTCAGGGTGAAAGAAACTTTGCCCATTTGTTTCTGCCTAGAGTGGGAATCGAACCCGCGCCACAGAATTACGAGTCCTGTGCGCTATCCACCAGGCTTCCCTTAAATACGTATATTCCCTTACATTGTGTGTGTGGCAGGGTAATACATGACACTGTCTGCCACTGTCCACGGGACTATACTATCACTTCCCGTCCCATAGACTGGTTCACAGCCCTACACAACACCGTGGGTAGTTGTGTTGTCTATGCAACACAGAACTGAGCAGCAGTACATACCTGGCATGTGACGTGACCACACATGTGGCACAGCTCTTCATCTCTGCTCAATTTTATTTATAACGTATACAGTAGATCAGAGTGCAGTAGTTACTTTACACTACGGTATTTATATTTCTGGAAACGAGCAAAACTTCATAATAAAATGTACAGTTTTTTTTTTATCTGAATTTACCTGAGAGCTACATGCAGTCTAGTGGCCTCACCAGGGACAGGAAGCTGGCAGCTTGTCAAAGGTCCCCTCATTTATCTTTATATTTTTTCTAGCTGTACTTTAAAGGTCAACAGTTTTTTTTGGCATTATGGCTTTGGCAGGTAGGCAGTTCTTTTGGTTAATAACCCTGTGGGTGAAAAAGCATCTCCTGTTCTCAGTCTTACATTGTGGCTTATTGAGCTTGGAAACCTTTGCTCTTTGTGTTACATCCAACCATTTGAAGAAATTGTTTGGATGAATATCCTCCAAATTGTTAAGTATTTTAAGTTTCGTTGAGATCTGCCCTGTCATGCCTGGTTTACAATATTGTTAGCGCCACCTATAGTCCAAGTGGATTTTCTCAAAAGTAATAATAATAATAATAAATAATAATAATAATATTGTTAGCCCCTGAGGCCCTCAGCCGTTCCTGGTATAGGAGTTGACTTTGTTCTGGAATCATTTTTATTGCCGATGTTGAACTTTCTCCAGACCAGCTATGTCCTTCTATAGAGGGTCTCCATGACTGGATATAGTAAAGTAAATGGGGGGTACACCAGAGATTTATACAATTGAATCACTACCTTCATTACCTTGAAGTCAAAGGTGTGCTTTATTATTCAAAGTGTTTGGTTGGCTTTTGTATTTTACTGCCGCTCCCACTTGTTGTGTAACTCAGATTCAGATTCAGATGTTTATTCAGGTAAGGTATATACATACCAGTGATGTTACATTAATGGATTGATATATAGATAGAGCTAGTACATACAATGCCTAAAGCCACTATTACGCAATGCGTTTCGGGCAAAAACGCACTTTCACTTACAGTGAATGATGGATTCTGATTCAAAAGTTCTTTTCTTCATCAATCTGCTACAAAGTGCTACACATTGATAAAGCACTTAAATTAAATTAATAACATTAATAGCAATTAATGTTGTTAATTTGGTAGTTGTGACGTGGATTGTTATAACCCAAATTCAAGGTCTTACATTTTCCAATACTGTATTAAAAAGAATTTGCCAGTCTTCTGACCATTTGTGGAGTTCATGTAGATCTCCAAAAGGCCTTGATATAATTTTCACTTCCCACTTTACTAAAAATCTTGGTGTCATCTGTGCTAACACTGGTGATCACAATAATGTGGTTTGTAATATTCTCATCTTTGTCATTAATGTATATAACAAAAAAGTGTTGGGCACAAGATGGACCTGTGGTACCCCACTTGCCACATTCCTCCAGTCAGATTCATTCCCATTTAGCACGACCCTTTGTTTTTAAAATTGTTTTATCCATTCTAGTATTTTATCATTTATTCTGTGTGCCTGTAATTTCCTTGCTAGTCTTGCATGTGGTACCTTATCAAAGACTTTAGCAAAATCCATGTAAACTACATCCACCAGAAGTCCTTTGAGTAGCTGGTAACTGGTTCAAAAAATGGTTCATCATAGGTTGTTGATCATCTCCGTAACCGAGATGGGGTAGTTGACTGAGGGCTGGGGCTAGTGCCTGGTGAGGGTAATCAGTACTATAGCATTTGAGATAATTTGGGTTACTCCCTTGTTCTGTGTGAACTATTTGTGGAATTACTTGGTGGTTTCAAGACTTCATTTTCTGTGAACCCTCTGTTTGTAAAGCTGGACTGACTTTCTGGAGGCTTTTTCGGATGTGGTGGCAGATTGTCACCTGCCCCTTACATTTATGCAAGGGGAAGCCAGGTTCTGGCTCTGGTCCTCTGTAAGTCAAACAGAACTCCCACGAATGAGGTGACCATTGCTACCTCAATTGTTCAGTATGGAGCAATTTCAGCAAGATAGCTTCAGGGAGTCATTGGGTGTCCTCCAGAAAGAGGTATTTCATGTCAATTCCTTTTGATTGTCTCATTTTCCGTTTCAGTCTTTTTATGATAGGTCCTATTGCACCTTCCTTTTCCCTGCTCTTGGGTTGTGTTTGTCATGTGCACAGCACTGCACAAGTATGCCCTGCTGTGGCATGTTCAGATGTCTTCCTCAGGGCGCCATGATTTGGCTCCATGGCTCTGCTCCCCAGTGGTCCACTGTCTAAATTGAGGGGTGGGATTGGTGGAGGGGGGGGGATCACTTCAGTCTCCTTCTTAGTGAGGCTGGATTTTTTGTGTGGCTTATCTTCATGTTCTTGGGGGTTTAGCTCTCCGTGCTGTTTCCATGCAGCGTGTGTCCACTTTTCTCATACTGTCTTGCTTGTTTTTGTTCCCTAGTCTTGGAGTGGATGGTCTGTGACATGTTCTTTTGTTGGCTTTGCAATTTGTTTGGCTGCCCTCTGGCGAACTTTTATTTGCATTGACATGGAACCAGCGACTCCTTTCCTACGTGGCCCTATTCCTGGTTTGTGAGGCTCTCATGCGTGGTTTTCGGGTGGCCTGAAGTCAGTTGAGGTTCTTGTCTCTCTCCCCTCCAGTTATCTGCTGCTCCTTGTTCTTTCCAGGCTGGAAATATTTTTCAGAATACAGTACTGTATTGTTTTTTCTGGCCCCTAAGTGGCCAGATCAGTCATGGTTCCAGCTCTTTGATCCCATTGCAGTTGGGATCATTGCAATTGGGACCATTGCAGTTTTTTTTTCAGAGTGACAATATGATTTTTTGGCAGTCTTTCTGGTGGCATTTTCTCTTTGAGTTTATCTAGTACCGTATCCCCAGCATCCTGTACTTCTTTGAGTGGACCAGATACTGTCTCTGGTCTGTGGTAGGCTGTTTATGACTTGCAAGGATCTGTTGGTGCATGATACATGTAGAGCCCACCAAAGGAGGCATTTCATTGCATTCAACACTGGATTTTCTTGGTTATGGGTCAATCTCTAAACCCCAAGCCTGCATCATAGTGTGAGCCAGGTTTTGTCCTGGCCTCTGGTAGACGACGGATGGGTCTGGGGGACCTGGTGTGTGGAGCTAAGGTTGTGTGGTATCAGAGCTAAGCTCGGTGAGCTGCTGGGGCCAACCAAAAAAAAGGTGTTAATTTGTAGTGAATGCTTCATTTTTGTATACTACAAAACAGTCCCAAGCTAAGAGGTTATATGAAGATTATTTATCTGTTGCTTTACCTTATGTAAGTATAATGCTGTAGATGGCTATTATAATGTATGGCTTTAAATCCTTAGTACTTAAAATTTTCACATTTTGAAATTTGTATTAACATGTTCATTATAAAAGTACTTACATTCTGTTTGTGACAGTAAAACACAAGTGAAATACTCTATATTTTTATTAAAATAATAAAGCCAGGCTGTTAAAGAATTTAAATTTAATGTAACTATTAATTATTACTTCCCTCAGATACCATACCCTGGTTCTTTCCTGGTGAGTTATTTCTCTTTAGTGACCTTAATCCTCTTAGGAATCCTTGCTTATAGGCATTTTTTGGGATGGTGCAAGTCTTGTGGTTGAATATTTTGTCTCAGGTGCTGCTTGTCCAGGATGTTTTCTGTTTTCCCTGTACCTTATTTTGTTAATGTTATGAATACTGTATATATTTATGGGTTTTTATTATATTGCACTTCCTGCAACACCCAGTGAATAGCTTCATTATAAATATATAACAGTATTTTGGCTTGGATTATCAGTAATGTTGCTAGCTACAAGTTAGACAAAGTATTTGTTATGGTGCGAGAGTTGGCTAATACAACTGATCACACATTACAGTACTAGTTTATCCATCATTTGTTAGTACTTTAGCACTCATTTATCATTAAAATATTATTTCAATATTTTATTTAATTTATACAGTACAGGGTATATACAAGAGTTCGCACATCCTTGTAAAGCCACTAGCACGCATAGTATTTCGGGCAGGGCCTTAATCCTAATTTTTCCCTGGAATACGACCTGCAAATTGTTTAACAACCAGGTACCCATTCACTGCTGGGAGAACAGAAGCTACCGTTAAGGATTGGCACTCGGTCAATCCTCCCTGGCCAGGATACAAACCCAGGCCAAAGTGCTCATGAAGTGCCGGGTGTGTGCTTTACCTCTGTGCCACAGGGACTGTGTGGAGTACAGTGCTCAGTTCTGTGTTGCTCTACAGTACAGTATATTACTATACTGTATTTATGTTGATGGGGGGTCATCTTGATATTGCAGTACAGGAAATTCTTAACTTGTAAATGGGATACTTTATAAAATGTGGCCGTAAGTCTCTCTCTGTGGTGACTCTGGTGGTTTGTAATACTATTCTCGTCTATATCATTCCATGTGTGTTCATAACATGGAAACATATTTCCACCTTGAAAGCAATATGCTAACTAATAAACAGTTTTGGTTTACTGAAAGACAAGAGCTACAAGGAGAGGTTAGAGGCGGTAAATACTACCACAAAGCTAGAAAAGATGTGATATGATCACTATGTACAAACTAGTAAAGGGAATCGGCAAAATTGATGAAGAATTCTAGAAACCTTGTTACCTTAAGAACAAAGAGGTCATAGATTTAAACTAACTAAAGAAAGCAGCCTAAAGAACATTAGAAAGTTCACTGTTGCAAACAGTGGTAGATGGTTGTAATCAGTTAAATTGGTGGGTGGTGGAGAACAAAACCATAAGTAGTGTCAAAGCGTCATATATGAGAGAGTGGTGTGGAAATGGGACACCATGAGCGTAGCTCTTATCCTGTAACTACACTTGAATAATTAGTTAGATAATTACACCTGACAAATCTCTGCTTTTGCCAATAGTATGGTTGCATCTAGAAAATAGTTTACTGCAATGTACTAAACATTTTCATTGCGTTTTATCTTTCAGGCACACGATTTCGGCCTTTGTCACTGGATGTGCCCAAACCTCTGTTTCCAGTGGCAGGGCTGCCCATGGTCCAGCATCACATAGAAGCATGTGCGGCTGTACCGGACATCCGAGAAATTTTACTTCTTGGTTACTTCCCAGCACAACAGCTGCAGCAGTTTGTGGCAGATATGATTGCTGCATACAAAATTAGGATTAGGTAAAGATCATGGCACTAATCTCGATGCACATAGCACAAGCAATAGGGAATCTACCTCAATTATTCCAGGTGCTGTAAAGACAAAGTGACTTAAATACGGGTAAATAAAAATCAGGTTGATAAGATTGAGAAAGGCACTGTTAAATGTAGGAAATATTGAGAGTAAGTTGTGCATGTTATTAAAGTGTAGTAGAGTGGGCTTACTGCTTAAATAGCAGCGTGTTTGGTTCTCACATCTTCCACACCATCTGACTTTCAGTTGCATCTCATTCCAGGACTTTGTCACAATTAGATTAACATTAATGTTTGTTTAGTTTAAATGATAGAGCATATACAGTATGTGCTTACTCTATGCATATATATATATACTATATATATATACTATATATATATACCTGTACTATATATATACAGTATATTTTTATCAAAATCACTTGTAAAGAGTACGATATACTGTACTAAAAATTTGAAAAAAAAATCCCCAACTAGGAGGATAACACTAGAAGGATAGCTGCAATTTAAGTGAAAGATCATATGATCTTTTATTGTGATCTTTACAGATCGTTATTGCTGAGCATGTTTGGGTTTGTGGTTGAGAGGATGAAAGTTGTGAGGGTGTAGTGATGTGAGGTGGAACAATGAGGGACTGAGTTAAAGCTTGAAAGAGTGAAAGGTTTGTGTGGTGATAGAGCCTGGTGGAGCAAGCTTTACTGTGGGCATCCACTGATAAGGAGCTCTCACAAGGGAGCAAGATCTCGCAGCTATACACTACTGTACTCATTTCATCAGTTGCAGTGTGATCAAATTTTATTTATTGCCTGTAATGCTGTATGTATTAGTAGCCTTTGGCATAGTATATACTACCTCTGTCTATAAATCCAACATTCTGCTTGTAACTCAATATGTATGTACTTTACCTAAATAAACTATTTATTTATTAAAATATGGTACAATGATTAATTGCTTTCTCCAAGAGGACGCGTTATTGAGAACACGTGTGTTATTAGGGTTGCTGATTATATTCTGTGACAGGTATCTTCAAGAATACCAGGCTTTGGGCACGGCAGGAGGCATCTATCACTTCAGAGACCAGATTAGTTCTGGAAATCCCGATGCCTTCTTCGTGCTCAATGGTGACGTGTGTGGAGATTTTCCTCTGCAGGAAATGCTAAATTTTCATACCAGCCTTTCTACCCCATCACTCATCACCATCATGGGCACTGAAGCCACTCGTCAGCAGTCCACCATGTATGGCTGCATTGGTATGTTTAATACTTTTCATTTTATCCTTAGAGTTTAGATTTTCGTATTTCTGTGGATCCTCTCAAATTTGGATCCCTCTACTGTACCTTCCTTGATCAGCTGTAATTGAAAGAAATGTCCAGTTGTCTCATGACATTCAGAGCAGAATAGATACATGTGGGTGACTTTATTTTCAGTGTTTTAATAATTTGTAATTTTAAGGTTTTCTTTATTGTAACTTGCAGTTGAAGACAAAGAAACCCACCAGATTCTACACTACGTTGAGAAGCCTTCCACTTTTGTGACCAATCTTATCAACTGTGGCGTTTATATTTGCTCCCCCGATATCTTCAAGCGAGTTGGAGAAATATTTAATTCCAGACAAGATTTTTATAGGTAAGAAGCTGAGTAAGCATGTGTATCCTAAATTAAATAGGCTATTGCTAACATTCTAATAAATTATTCGGGGAAATTGGAGTATCCTGTAGAGTACTGTATGTTAAACTGGAACGTGTTAAATTAGAAATTTTAAATAGGAATGATAATTTTGCTTCAATTCCTTTCAAAGCTTATTTTGAAAAAGTATTTGAATTGCAGTAAATAATTTCTATGGGCTACATTTAAGACAAGGTCAACAGTTTTCACAACATGGCTGTCTGAAGTATATTGCATTGTGTAACTTGTGTAATATATGTTACATTTCCGAGCCTAGAATCCCGTATGAAATATCCCCATTTCCTCGGGAACATGGCATACTTCAGCCCAGATCAGTATGACCTCCTCATTCCCAGCACAGCACTGATGTTTTAAAATTACCTCCACTAGGCCCACTATAGTAGAAGGGAGGCATGAGGACTCTCAATATCACTCATAAATGACCGACAGAAGATAGTGTCTACACTGTTACCTCCTTGAAGCAATATTGTACTTTGGATCAAAAGAGACACTACCAAGTGTTGCCTCTCAACTGCTAACTGCCAATTGCTAGTTGACTGCATGGTCACCACCACTACTTGCCACAACCTGCCAACAAACGTTGTATACACTGAGGGCAGCCTTCGAACCCGCCTCACTTTCTTCCCATGCTTTCCCTGTGGTTCTTAGCTGGTACTTCACTTTTTCTTTGGGCTTGTGCTTTTATGAATGCTTTGTGTGTGTGTGTGTGTAATTACCTAAGTGTAATTACCTAAGTGAAGTTACAGGATGAGAGCTACGCTCGTGGTGTCCCGTCTTCCCAGCACTCTTTGTCATATAACGCTTTGAAACTACTGACGGTCTTGGCCTCCACCACCTTCTTCCCTAACTTGTTCCAACCGTCTACCACTCTGTTTGCGAAAGTGAATTTTCTTATATTTCTTCGGCATCTGTGTTTAGCTAGTGTGTATCTATGACCTCTTGTTCTTAAAGTTCCAGGTCTCTGGAAATCTTCCCTATCGATTTTATCAATTCCTGTTACTATTTTGTATGTAGTGATCATATCGCCTCTTTTTCTTCTGTCTTCTAGTTTTGGCATATTTAATGCCTCTAACCTCTCCTCGTAGCTCTTGCCCTTCAGTTCTGGGAGCCACTTAGTAGCATGTCTTTGCACCTTTTCCAGTTTGTTGATGTGCTTCTTAAGATATGGGCACCACACAACCGCTGCATATTCTAGCTTTGGCCTAACAAATGTCGTGAACAATTTCTTTAGTATATCGCCATCCATGTATTTAAAAGCAATTCTGAAGTTAGAAAGCGTGGCATAGGCTCCTCGCACAATATTCTTTATGTGGTCCTCAGGTGATAGTTTTCTATCTAGAACCACCCCTAGATCTCTTTTTTTATTAGAATATTTTAAAGATTTCTCACATAATATATAGGTTGTGTGGGGTCTATGTTCTCCTATTCCACATTCCATAACATGGCATTTATTAACATTAAATTCCATTTGCCAAGTGGCACTCCATGTACTTATTTTGTTCAGGTCTTCTTGAAGGGCATGACAATCATCTAAGTTTCTTATCCTTCCTATTATCTTAGCATCATCAGCAAACATGTTCATATAATTCTGTATACCAACTGGTAGATCATTTATGTAGACAATAAACATCACTGGTGCAAGAACTGAACCTTGTGGTACTCCACTTGTGACATTTCTCCAGTCCGATACATTGCCTCTGATCACAGCCCTCATTTTTCTATTAGTCAGAAAATTTTTCATCCATGTTAGAAGCGTACCTGTCACTCATGCAATATTTTCCAGTTTCCAGAACAACCTCTTATGTGGAACTCTGTCGAAAGCCCTTTTTAGGTCCAGATAGATGCAGTTAACCCAACCATCTCTTTTCTGTAATATCTCTGTTGCTCGATCATAGAAACTGAGTAAATTCGATACACAGGATCTTCCAGATCGAAAACCATACTGCCTGTCTGATATTATATAATTTCTCTCCAGGTGTTCTACCCATTTAGTTTTAATTATTTTTTCCAATATTTTGACTATTACATTTGTCAATGATACCGGTCTATAATTAAGGGGGTCTTCCCTGCTTCCACTTTTGTAGATTGAAACTATGTTAGCGTTTTTCCACACATCAGCTACAACTCCTGTATACAGGGATGCCTGAAAAATCAGTTGAAGAGGAATGCTGAGCTCAGGTGTTTCCACACATTCTCTCAGAACCCATGGTGAAACTGAGCCATCTGGACCCATGGTGAAACTGCATTTGTTCTTATTTAGCTCCTTGAGCATTTTTTCCACTTCGTCTCTAGACACCTCTATGTGCTCTATGTTGTTCTCTGGAATTCTTATTGTATCTGGTTCCCTGAAGATTTCATTTTGTACAAACACACTTTGGAACTTTTTGTTTAATGTTTCACACATTTCCTTTTCATTTTCCGTGAATCTATTTCCCATTTTCAACCTCTGAATATTATCCTTTACCTGCAATTTGTTGTTTATGAATTTATAGAATAGACCTGGTTCTGTTTTACATTTGTCTGCAATCCCTTTTTCAAAATTTCTTTCTGCCTCTCTCCTCACTGCCGTGTAGTTGTTTCTCGCATCTTTGTATCGCTGGTATGTTTGGGGATTCGGCCTCTTCCTGTATTGATTCCATTTTTGTGTCTTTTGGTCTCTGGCCCTCTTGCACTTTCTGTTGAACCAATCCTGTTACCTAGTTCTGCTTCTCTGTTTTGGTATAAATTTTTTTGTGCCTTTATCATATATTTCACAAAACCTGACATACATCTCATTCACTTCCTTGCCTAGCAACAAGTCTGTCCAATTATACTCACTAAAAAATTTTCTAAGGTTGCCATAATGTCCTCTCCTAAAGTCAGGTTTTTCATTTGCATCGACCGTCATATTTTCTTCCAGATTATAACGCATTGCATACTTTATTCCCCCCAAAAAATGGTCACTTTTAAACAAGGGAGGAAGGTACTGAATGTCAAATATTTCTTCCTCCTTCCTGGTAAATATCAAATCTAGCATGGAGGGGACGTCCCCTTCCCTCATCCTCGTAGCTTGTTTAACATGTTGATACAAGAATGTTTCCAGGATGAGGTCTACAAATTTACAGGTCCAGAAATCTTCTGTTTTAGCTTCACATGCTTCCCAGTCTATGGATTTCAAGTTGAAGTCGCTGACTATCAACAGTCGTGAACTATCGTTATCCGCTCTCGCTATGATCTCTCTCATTATTGTTATAAGACCTTCTCGTTTACTATCTAGCTCCTCCTTTGACCATGTGCTGCTTAGCGGTGGACTATATGCATTTATGATCATTAGTTTATCAACCTCATGGCAGATCTCTAGTGCTATTATGTCAACTTCTTGTGGATTGGCAGTCACTATTTCGTTCACCTTTAGGTGTTCTTTCACCAGCACAGCAATGCCACCGCCTTTCCTGATTTTTCTGTCCTGTCTCCAAATTGAGTAGCCCCTTGGGAATATGGCCTCATTTAAAATAGCATCTTCAAGTTTTGTCTCCGTGAGTGCAACAATGTCTGGTGTCTGCAGCTGTATTATATCACTTAACTCCAGTATCTTTGATCTTACTCCATCTATGTTGGTGTATGCAATCTTGAGGAACTTGTTCCCCTCTTCTTATTTTTCACTCCCCCTTTCTCTAATGATTTTGTTGGTTTGCCTTTATGTACCACTTTACTGGCCTGCCTACCCCTATCACTTTGTAAAAAAAAGAATTGATTTCTTCTTCATTCCTGCTCTCATTTAAATGTTTTGCCTCGGCGAGGTTCAGTTTCAGCTTCTCTCTATCTTCTTTTGAAAGATCTCGTCTTAACGACCACACTTTCCCATCCTTATCACTTTGTAATTTTCTAGCATTCCTTAGTACTTCTTCCATCTGTTTCGTACCATTTAGGGTGATCCTCAAAGGTCGATCTTTCCCTTTTACATATCTGCCTAAGTGTGTGTATGTGTGTGTGTAATTACCTAAGTGTAGTTACAGGATGAGAGCTACGCTCATGGTGTCCCGTCTTCCCAGTACTCTTTGTCATATAACGCTTTGAAACTACTGACGATCTTGGCCTCCACCACCTTCTCACTTAACTTGTTCCAACCGTCTACCACTCTGTTTGCGAAAGTGAATTTTCTTATATTTCTTCGGCATCTTTGTTTAATTAGTTTAAATCTATGACCTCTTGTTCTTGAAGTTCCAAGTCTCGGGAAATCTTCCCTGTCGATTTTATCAATTCCTGTTACTATTTTATACTTAGTGATCATATCACCTCTCTTTCTTCTGTCTTCTAGTTTTGGCATATTTAATGCCTCTAATCTCTCCTCGTAGCTCTTGCCCTTTAGTTCTGGGAGCCACTTAGTAGCATGTCTTTGCACCTTTTCCAGTTTGTTGATGTGCTTCTTAAGATATGGGCACCACACAACCGCTGCATATTCTAGCTTTGGCCTAACAAAAGTTGTGAACAATTTCTTTAGTATTTCACCATCCATGTATTTAAAAGCAATAATGAAGTTAGAAAGCATGGGATAGGCTCCTCGCACAATATTCTTTATGTGGTCCTCAGGTGATAGTTTTCTATCTAGAACCATCCCTAGATCTCTTTCTTTATCAGAATTCTTTAAAGATTTCTCACATAATTTATAGGTTGTGTGGGGTCTATGTTCACCTATTCCACATTCCATAACATGGCATTTATTCACATTAAATTCCATTTGCCAAGTGGTGCTCCATATACTTATTTTGTCCAGGTCTTCTTGAAGGGCATGACAATCATCTAAGTTTCTTATCCTTCCTGTGTGTGTGTGTATTCACTATCTTTGTGCGTCTCTTGAGCTTTTACTAAACCAGCCTGGACAAGTTTTCTTCTCATCTTGTAGGTGTCTAGGGATTTGGTCCCAGGCTATGGTGTTGGGCACCATGTTAATGCCCCAACACCAGGCTATGGTGTTGGGCATTAACATTCCAGGTTCATTCAGTTGTAGCTGTACTTTGTGTTCATTTGCGATTCATTCCAATTCTTGGGTCTTGCTCGTTAGTGCCGTGACCTTTTTCTTTTGTAAGCCATTTTGGTTTTTATTCAGTCATCGACATGCCCTTGCTTTTTCTTGGGTGTTAGTGCTTGGGTTACATTTGGTACACTGACACCACAGGTTTTGTGCCTTTTTCAAATTTTATCTAGAGCCCGTTCTTATGGGATCTCTCTTATGTTTATCTTGTACATTATCCTGAATGTCATGGATAAAAAGTTCACTCAAAATGAAGTTGGATTCTGCTTGACACAGTTTTTTTGGTGTTCTGTATGATTGTTTTTGAGAGTGAGTATGATCTCTGCCAACTCTGACGTGCTTCATATTGAATGTAGTGCCATTTATAACTTTGGGTGTATCCTGTGTCAGATTTAGATAGCAATGCTGGAACTGTTCTCCTGGCAAGCTGCTTGAAGGATTCAGTGCTGAAGTGCTCATTCTGGCTGTTGCTCTTGCTGAATAAAAAAAAAAGGTGGGGAAGTTTGGAAAAATCTTTATAGCATTGGAGATGAGGTCACACTGACACTGGCTGAAGTATGAAACATCCCAGAGGGGCAAGATAATACCAAAGGTAGTGGCCAAGTGATTCAAGTTAAATGAGAGCATTATACCTAAACTCAACACCTTTTTTTTTTAGCTGATATGACTATTGTATCAATGTTTTTTGTATACAGCTGTGATGATTGTGAAGGGAGAGAAACTATTCAACTGGAGCAAGACATTCTTATGCCTATTGCTGGAACCGGCCAAGCTTATGTTTATACTACTGACAGGTTAGTCTCACTTGTCATCCTTATTATTGTAACAAAAATAAAAGTTATTTCTACGTTTACCAGTCATATATTTTATTGTGTAGCTAACTATGTATTTGTAAAGACACTTCGTGTGTGTGCATGGTGGACACAAGTGAGAGCATCTTAGACTCGTATTACTCATATCCTGAGTGTGTGTGTTACATAAAAACAAAATATTGTATACAGTGGTACCTTCGTTTATGAATTTAATCCGTTTCCAGAGATGGTCCAACAACCGAAAATATGAAAACCGAAACAAATTTTTCCCATAAGAAATAATGTAAATTAATCCGTTCCACACACCCGCAATTAACTTAACACTTTCGCGCGCGGCCTGTGTATGCCGCAGACTTTGACGTCATGGTCCTGGTGTTTCGGGCAAGCGTGCGGCAACACCAAAATGTGTATACTGTACTCATTTCAGTTTTCTCACCTTAATTCTCGTGCCACGTCGTTCGTTTTGGTATTATTGTGTTCGCAATAGGATTCTCTACAGGAGGGGTGGTGGGGGGTGGTGGTGTTATATGCATATAAGGTCCAAAAGTCCGATGTGACTCCCCTCAGCAAAGTGTAAAGTCAGCAAAAGTTACCCGTGAGCTCGCAGAATCAGTAAAATGTGTATACTCGTTTCAGTTTTTCTCACCATAATTCTCGTGCTACGTCGTTCGTTTTGGTATCATTGTGTTCACAATAAAATTCTCTACAGGGGTATATGCATATTAGTCCAAAAGAGCCCAGCATGACTTATGTTGCAATTATAAAATTGCAATTTTATAATAAGTGTAATACATTTTACAGTTATTTACTTCTTTTTCTTCACCTCGAAAACGAACATGACTTTTGGAGGACTCCTCTTCCAGCTAAACCCTGATGCAAGAGCACTAGTTAGAGGGATAGAAGCCCTAAACCAGAAAATAGTTAATACAGAATATGCTGTCATATTCAATGAGACATGTATGTATATAAAAATATATGTCTATGTGTATATAAAATATATGTGTGTGTGTGTGTGTGTGTGTATGTATAAAATATAATAATGTGTGTGTGTGTATGTATTTGTATTTATCTATAGAGTTTTCTGTTCATTGTAGGTGGTGGTCTCAGATAAAAACTGCAGGATCTGCTATATATGCCAATCGCCACTATCTCCAACTTTACCACAAGACCAAGAATGAGCGCTTGGCTACAAATGGACCAGATAAACCAACTATTATCGGTGATGTATACATTCACCCAACAGCAAGTGTTGATGCATCAGCTCTGGTAAGATTGCAGTACTCTATACACCAGTTTCTTAGGCCTTGTTCACACACTGTAGTTACTTGGTAAATAAAGCAGTTTTTGTTTTATTGTTTAGCAATACATTACCTGTTAACTTGCACGGTAGTTTAACATGTGGCGGGCTCTTTTAATGTGTGTTTCTGTTGGGAGCCACCTGCGACTCCCTGGTGCTATCGGGCTAATATGTGATACATTGGACAAGGGCTTTAGTCAATTTAGTTCAGCCTGCAGGGGACCATGAGCCAGAACCTGACCCCCTCAGAGAAGCAAAGGGAGCAATAGCCTATAGAAAACCCCATGTGGTTAGGGGGGAGGGGGCATTCCATGCCTGCCATCGACCGGGGTTGGCACTCGGAAAGGTAGGCATAACAAAACAAACCTCACTTGGTAAGAAAATGCAACCGAAAATCGAACGAGGAGGCAGAACTCGCCCTATAACTTAAGGAAACAAGCAAACAAGCAAACGCCACACCTCACCGCTGTGCTGCCTGTCTGCACAGCTTCCCCTCCTCTCCCTAGGAGAGGGAGGGGGGAGCCCCAGACTCTCCCCATGCCGGCTACTCAAGCCATCCAGTTCATTGACTAAAGCGATCTGGGGTGGACGTCATCTTTGGCCTTGGTTTTCAAGCAGTGTTTGCCTTCATGGTGTCCTGCTGTTCGTGGTATGGTGGCCAGGTGTACCTGTTTAAACCTTCCCTAAGTGCCCTGTGAGGACTACTACCCTTGCGTGTCAGGGTTGTCTTTCCTGGTGCGTTCGGGAAGCCATTTCCGTAGGGGTTTTTGCTGCTCTGCATTTACCCCGCCCTTGGGGCCAGCTGGGGTTTTGTGGCCCTTGTTTAGCCTTGGGTAGGAAGTAGTATTGTTGTTGATTGGGGCGTCAGGGTGTTGTGCAGCCAGCTCACCTATGCAGTGGCCCGGTTCCTGTTTCCTCTGGGGACGTTGTACTTTTTCAGGGTTTTTCTTTTCATTTTTGTTTTCTATGCCTGGTGGGGGGGGGGGGGGTCTGCCTGGTGTGGCTATAGGACCACTTTTAATATTTTGTGGCCCTCCGCTAGGCCCCTGTGCTTGTACACATCGCAGGGGGTATCAGTGTTGTGATCTCCTCCCTTGTTATATTTGGGTCTAATTGGTTTGCAACACCTTGCCCTGTCAGGGCTCGGTGGACCTATGGATGCGTCTTCCGACTTTCAGCTCGTCTTGTGTGAGTTTGAAGATTGCTGTGTACCCTTGTCTGAGGGTGACAGTCTTTGCTTTTGCCTCCATCATGCCGCCTGTTGGATCACCAACACCTTTGACCCAGATTCTTGCAAGACTTGTTCTCTGCATGTTCTTCAATTACCCTTCCTATTGACATTGATATTCTGGTACAAGAGGCATTCACGTTGCGTGCTAGGTTTAGGTTGCTGCAATGCGTTAGGTTGGTTGCCCACCCGGATGCACCGAGGCTGCCCCGTTTTGGTTAGGTGTCGTTCGAACTTCTCCCTCCCTCCCTCTCCCTCCAGTTGGCGGGTCTGTTTCCTTTCTGATGCTCAGCCTCCGAACTGAATAGCTTGGGTAGCCAGCCCGGCGAGAGGGGGGAGGGGAGGCTGCGTGGACAGGCGGTGACATGTGACGTTTGCTCGTTTCCTTGTTGTAAGTTGTTGTAAGGCGAGTTCTGCTTCCCTGTTTGGTTTTCAGTCACATTTTCTTACCAAGTGGGATTGTTTTCTTATGCCTATCTTTCTGATGCCAGCCCTGGTCGATGGCAGACATGGAGTGCCCCCAACCACAGGGAGGGTTTCTATAGGCCAGTGCTTGCTTTGCCTCTCTGAGGGGACCAGGTTCTGGCTCATGGTCCCCGGTAGACTGAACTCCATTGACTAAGGCCCGATCTAATGTATTGCATATTAGCTAGGTAGCTCTAGGAGCCTCTTTAATGTAATTAAAGAATTCCTTCTGGTCCAATTCATGCATTACATTGTTACCAAAAGCTTGGTTTAGATCTAATGGTCTGTTGCTGCATATACTACTGTACACTACTTTATAAACATGTTTTTAATGTTGCCTAACAGAGTTTATATATAAATTTTTGTAGATAGTTCTGTATATAAAGAAATAAGAGTTTGAAAGCAATAATATATTATTTACTGGGTGAGTATTCCATAACTAAGATGAGGCAAGTGTGTGGATTATTTGCCACACATTTTGATGAGGAAAGTTTTTGTTAATTTAAACTTTTTTGTTAACATTAAATGTTTGTTTTTGCAACCTTCGTACCACCACAGTCATCACTAGGAAGTCTTATAAGACGCTGTTTTGAGAGGAAAAAGGTATTCAGGAAAGAGTGTGACTAACCTGGAGGGTGTGAAACATCTCTACCAGCTTTGGGTGTCAAGAGGAAAGAAAACAATCATTCTTCAAGGTGATAAGGCTCAGGGAGCCGCTGCAATAAAATACGAAAGCCAGTCACTTGCATCAAGAGATGGACAGAGGGGCCCCAGGAAAAAAAAGAGAAAACAAATTCATGAAAATTTTGTCTAATATCATAGATATTAGGCCATGGAACCGCCTACCTGTCAAAGACGTAAATGCTAAAACTGTCTTAGGTTTCAAAATCTGCCTGGAAAAGATCATCAAGGCAATTTGGAAGGTGGGGGCTTCGAGAAGCCGCCGGCTTCCTGTCCTCGTCGAGGCCACTAGTGTTAGTGGTCCTTGGTAAATTAGATGGAATGAATTTAAAAGCACTAGAACAAGGATGTTATACAGCATACATTAATACTGTACATATACTGTAGCTGCATTGGCAGAAACAAGACTAGAGAGAATTCCGAAGGGGTGGTATTTTTGAGACAATAAAAAATAATTTAAGTGAGATGGAGTTTGACCTTGGGTATTGAACTTAGCAAGCCACTCAACATTAATTTCCACACAGCTTTACAAAGAGAAATCCTTGCAGACATGTGGACAAAGGCAATATCCCAAGTTATAAAAATGGTGACAGAAGACCCACTAAATTATGGATCATTTTATAACTAGTATGGTAGTTAAATTTCTGGAGAAAGTAATGTGTGTAGTAACCAAATGTATAGAATATCTTTTGGAAGAAACGACATTAATGAACAGGCATTATGGTTTGTCAACTGGCTCTGGTGTTGCCTTGGCCCCGAGTTCCTTGAGATATGAAGCAGAACAAGGTGTGAAGGAAGGGATTAATGGTAAAATTGAACTAGGAAGACATGAATGGGAAAGGATAAGGGTGAGTTAGTAAGTGATTATGGGTTGTTTGGGTGATCAGGATGTATAAGCAGGGTATTGGTTTGGATGCTGACTTGTAGAGAAGAATGGACTGAGAAGTCAACAGGGTTCTTGCCTAACAATGTCTTGTCTTGCCTAGCAAGGCCAAGTAGGTTGGGTGGAATATATGTAATTACCAAAGTGTAGTTACAGTATGATGTCTCGTCTTCCCAGGACTGTTTGTTGTGTGATGCTTTGAACCTTCTGACAGTCTCTTGGCTTCCATTGCCTTCTCACTTGATTTGTTTCAACCATTTACTACTCTGTTTGCAAAAGTGACCCTTCTAATGTTTTTGCGGGTTTGGCCTACTTGTTCTTGAAGTTCCAAGTTTCAAGAATTCTTCTTTATCAATTTTGTTGATTCCCATTACTATTTTGTACGTAGTGATCATATTCCCTCTTTTATTCGTATCTTCTAGGTTTGGCATATTTGACATCTCTATCCTCTCCTCGTAGGACTAGTCTTTCAGTTCCCGGAGCCCTATTATTGCATGTCTCTGCATCTTTTCCAGTTTGTTGATGTGCTTCTTGAGATATGGGCACAATACAACTGCTGCATGTTCCAGTTATGGAACATGTACACAAATGTTGTGAAGAATTTCTTTAATATTTTGCCATGCATGTATTTAAAGGCAATTCTGGAATTGGAAAGCATAGCATAGGCTCCTTGCACGATGTTCTTTATATGGTCCTCGGGCGACAGTTTTCTATCTACAATTACCCTTGGATCTCTTTCTTTGAGAGTTTGTGAAAGTCTTTTCACATTATTTGTAAAGTTGTGTGTGGCCCATTTTCTCCTATTCCGCATTCTCTAACATGACGTTTATTCACACTAAATTCCTTCTGCCAAGTGTTGCTCCATACACTTATTATGTTCAGGTCATCTTAAAGGGCATGGTGACAATCATCTAAGTTCCCCTAAGTTCTCCCTAGTAGCTTAGCATCATCAGCAAACATGTTCATATAATTCAGTATAGATTGTTCTATATGTAATATTGCATTGTGAGCCTGTGTGGTAGAAAGGTTTTTTTAAGTTTTTGTGCATAAATAAAATATGATACTTCTGGTATACTGTATTATGTGTGTGATTCATTTTCAGCTGGGTCCAAATGTGAGTGTTGGGAAGAATGCAGTGATAGGTGCTGGAGTTCGTATTCGAGAATCAATTATCCTTGGCAATACCACTATTCAGGAGCACAGCTGTGTTCTATACACGTATGTATTTATTTGGAAGAATATTTTGTGATTAAAAACCTTGCCAAAATATATATTCATACTGTACCTATAGTATACTCAGACATCATATTCAACAGGGTTGTATTTCACAGATACAATATTTTACCTGCTATAAGAAAAACTAACAATTTTATTTCCCAAAACAATTTTGTCATTTTCCATAGTATTAGATGTAATGTGGGGAGGATTTTAAGATGTTAAGAGTCTTGCAGAGTTTGTAGTGAAAGGTTGTATAGTAGCTGGGGATAAAGTAGAGCAGCCTTGCATGACTGTTCCTGTTTACACCCAGCAGCTGTATGTAGACAGCTGCCACCACCTGTTTACCTTGTTGAACAACACCTCCTTCTTGTTCCTGTTACCACCACCAGCTTCCTCTATTCTAATGTTTTTAAATGAAACTCATAATCACATGGATCATGGCACAGTGGAATATAAGTACTAGAAGAGCTTGGTAATTTGCATTTCAGTAACCTGAATCTCCAAGTATTGTCTTTCCTTGATAACCTGTATCACATGGGGAGCCTAGCCCTATTCGAGTAAGTCGAACATTTCAATGAGCCATCTTTTTTGGAGGGGCTGAACGGTGGCTCGCTGAGGTAGCTCCATGCCTATGTTTCACATCAGCCATAGGAGTCTGTATGGCCTATTGGAAACTAGAACCAGCACACGGTCCTCTCACAAAAGTTCTAAGAACTGGGGATGTTTACGTTTACTCTCTGTAAGGAAACACCCAGAAAGTAAGTGAAGCAAAACAGACAACTGCAAGGTTTACAAAAAGAAAAGAAATGAATCGGCAAATGACTGCAAACTATACACCAAATAGATGGATAAGTACCACCAGGTATAAACTGAAATAAATATTGGCCAAACCACAAACTGAAAAGACGACGACGTTTTGGTCCATCCTGGACCATTACCAAGTTGTTTGTGAGGAGACGAGAAAGGCACAGGCATAAGTAAAGCAAGAAAGAGGTGAGGAGGAGGAAAACTTAGAGGAAGGTAAAAGCAAGGCAAAAGATAGGGGTAGTAATGGGTATGAAGGAGGGTAATAAAAGGAGTAAATGGGAATGAAAGAGAAAGTAAAAGACAAAGAAAGAGAAAAAGAGGAAAGGGTAGGCTTATGTTTGGTCACATTTGTTAGAACGTTTTGGAACATTTGAGTATGTACTGTGAAAGGGAAGAGTGAACAGTAACAAAGCCAGGACTAAGGTTCATGTTGGGAAGGTTGTGTATCAGGGCCGATTCGACAAGACGGCATCTGTGAAGAGTAGAGGCAGGAAAGATTATTTTAGAAAAAGACCAATCAATAGGATGATTAGAGTCTTTAACATGACAGAAGAGAGCATTGTTTGTGTCTACAGGCTTAACACTTCTTTTGTGTTCCTTGAGTCTGTCATTGAGTGTATGGCCAGTTTCCCCAAAGTATTGGAGAGGACAAGATGAAAAGGAAATAGAGTAGACACCAGCAGCATTAGAAGCAGAAGTGTGAACTAGATTTGTACGAAGAGTGTTAGTTTTTCGAAAGGCGAGCTTTATGTCTAGAGGATGAAGGGTATTGGTAGGAGTTTTGAGTTCAGATATGAAGGGAAGGCAGAGCACAGTGCTACTAGTGTTGGAAGCAGGTTTAGAATGAAAACAATTATGTTTAGCTTGAGAATAGGCACATTTGATAAAATGTAAAGGGTAACCAAGGCAAGAGAAAGATTTGTAAATAAAAGAATTTTCAGATTCGAGAAACTGAGGGTCACTGATGCGTAGAGCGCGGAGGGAGAGAGAGACGAGGACACTTTTCTTAACAGAAAGAGGATGGTAGGAAAAGAAGTGAATGTACATACCACTATGCATGGGTTTGCGGTAGACAGAGAAAGAGAACCCGTACACAGAGCTGTGAACGTGAACGTCAAGAAAAGGAAGGAGGGAGTGAGATTCCCATTCAACTTAGAAATGGATGGAAGGAGCCAGATTGTTAAGAGAGGAGAGGAGAGGCTGGAAAAGACTAAGGTCATGAGGCCATAAGGCAAAAAATGTCATCAACATAGCAAAGCCAGAGAGAGGGGACGAGTATCAATAGAAGGAAGGAGAATGCTTCCAACACTATTAGCTTAAACCTGCTTCCAACACTATTAGCTTAAACCTGCTTCCAACACTATTAGCTTAAACCTGCTTCCAACACTATTAGCTTAAACCTGCTTCCAACACTACTAGCACTGTGCTCTGATGAATGCATGTACAAGTATAGTTTTAATTTAATAGAAAATGTAAAATTGTATTAAATTTCTGAAAGCAGTCTTTTGTTTATAGTGTTGTAGGATGGAACTCAAGCGTTGGTGCCTGGACACGACTGGAAGGCACGCCTTGTGACCCTAACCCAAATAAACCATTTGCAAAAATGGACAATGTTCCACTTTTCAACATTGAGGGAAAGTTGAATCCATCTATTACTATTCTTGGTGAGTGAACAGTGAGTCTAGTTCAGGTAGGTTTGTTTTTTGTTAATTATTAACAGGTATGTATGTATTTCTCATTGTATATTGATTGAACTATTTTTGGCTGTCAGGGCATTTTTTTTTATACTGTATATACAAGAGTTCTTACTTTCTTGTAAAAACCACTAGCATGCATAGTGTTTTGAGTAAGTCCTTAATCTTAATTTTCCCTGGAATACGACCCACCAAATCGTTTAACAACCAGGTACCCTTTCACTGCTGGGTGAACAGAGGCTGCAGTTAAGGATTGGTTCATAATCAATCCTCCCCAGCCAGGATACAAACCCAGGCCAAATAACTCACAAAGTGCAGGGCAAGTGTCTTACCACTGTGCCATGGGGACTGTATTATCCCCGATTGTTATTCTTGCACCTCGTAAGTGTTGACAAAACATAGGAGTATGTGTTAGAATATGATACATTAGTTAGTACACTCTCAAATTATTTGTTTCTGTCTAACCAACTGACTCGACTTTTTTCATGCCAGAGCCTCTGTCCCATATTAGATGCAGTACAGTATATATTTCTCAACTCTAACTTTCAGTTGCTTCTTTATGCAATGTCTGACTCTTCCCAAGGACAAGACCAGATACAGCCATCAGGTTGACGTTCATATACTGGCGCAACAGAGTTCTTTATGAGTGTCTCCATTGGGTCATACTGGGACAATGGAGGTACAAGAGAAAACCCATCCAATATGGAATGACCTTGAAGACTGATACATTTACACTCAAAACCTCCTCCAAGCTATACAGTACTGTGCATGATGGGGATTGTTGAGAACACTGCTGACTGGTAGTTGGCCTGAGTGGCTGCTGCCTCCCCTCTAACCAACACCAAATGTCAGCATCTACAGTCAGCCGAGTAGAAAGGAGCTATACAGTACATGTTTATCTTGGCTCTTTTCTCCAACTCTTATCCAGGCTGGTCTCTGGTCTCCTGATTCACATACAAGATTTGTATACATGCTTAGAAACTTTAGTGTTATTGTGCAGAGAGCTCATATTTTTCTGGACACTTCAATTTGCATTGGAGTGCTAATGAAGCAAACCTGTTAGTGGTGTAATCTCTAGCATGAATAGCGGCAATCAGCTGACTGTAGGGAGTGAGGAAGGGCAGTAGTCTCTCCCTCCCTCACCAGGATGATGAGAAAATTATATCATGTCACATATTTGGTTTCAATGATGATAATATACATATAATTTGTATACCAAATTGTTCACAAATGATTGTTCTATCATATGCCATAGTCAAAATTAAGAATGCTTATAAATACATTTTTTGTAAATACAGTAAAACATCGAGTGACGAGCGCCTCAATTGGCGAGCAATTTGGGTAACGAGCTCCCTGATCGCCGACAGTTCATCTCGTTTGGCGAGCGCTCGTTTGAATAACGACAACAACCCATAATGGGGTCGCGCTGCTTCTCGCACATTCTCGGACGCCTTCGACAATGCAAATCAATTATTTTTTTTTTTAAGATGCTAATGATGCTGGGATATAAAGGGGTGACTGCTGTGATGTTGCAAAGCATTGACTTTTTTGTGGAAAAAAAACAAAATTTAAAAAAAAAAAGTCTAAAAGGTTCGTTCGGTTTTTGTCAGGTAGGCTGCTCCATTATTGAGAAATAAATGAAAAATACAAAACAGATGGAACACATTTGAAACAAAGACAGATTGTCATAATGGAGCAGCCTACCCGACAAACACTGAACGAACCATTATGGCATTTGCTCGTTTTTCAAATTGTTTCAATTTTTTACTTTTTTTTATTTTTTTTTTTTTTTTAAGAAACATGGAGCAGCCTACCTGACAAACACCGAATGAACATTTTGCTATAAAAAAATTAACAAATTTGAAGAACGAAAAATGTCATAAAAGTTTGTTCAGTGTATGTAAGGTAGGCTGCTCCATTATTTTAAACATCGAATATCATATTGATGTTTTTCGGTGGTAGAACGGATTAATTTGATTTCCATTATTATAATGGAGAAATTTGTTTTGAAAGACGAGTGTTTTACATAACTACAGTAGCTCGGTGCTGGAATGGATTAAATTCGTTGTTCGAGATTTATTTATTTGAGACGAAGTTTTTCTGTAAATCCCGGTCATTACTTAATGTTGGGCCCACCAATATTTGTCATTTGGTTATGACTGAGCTGGAATTGTTCACCAGTGATTGCTCTATCACATGTTATGTTATTTTTGTTTAAAACGGTATCAATGTGAAGAAAGATGGGTCATGATGGCGTTTTTTTGTACTTGTCTAAATGTACCTATGGGTTATTAAGATATTTCACTTCACTACTCTCCTGGCAAGGTAAGTCAGAAACCTTATATGTTGATATGGATTATAGTCTATGTAAGCCCATTGGTTTTTTTTCTGGAGGAGGGGGGGGGGGTTGTTTGCTTGGGGTCTGCAACCCGTTCTCGCACTTTCTTACAGTCAATATTGACTTATTAAATACATTCATATGTGACATACTAAACATACTAGTTTACCTTGAAAAGCTTCATAGAAAACACTGACCTTACCTAACCTTCTTAGTATGTTAAGATAAGCATCTTATTGATTCGTAATTACAATTATTACTTAACATATTATAGGTATAGGTTAAGTAATAATTGTAATTACGAAGCAATAAGATGCTTATCTTAACATACTAAGAAGGTTAGGTAAGGTCGGTGTTTTCTATGAAGCTTTTCAAGGTAAACTAGTATGTTTAGTATGTCACATATGCACGTATTTAATAAGTCAATATTGACTATACGAAAGTGCGAGAACAGGTTGGGGTTTGACAGGTCGAATGAAATCCCTTGTGGAATGAATCAACCTCACTCCATATAGTTTGTTCAAATGAGGACACATTCAACCCTCAAACCGCTAGGGGTCCAAATGGATTTAACACCCACAGGCGCAACAACAACAACAACAAAAAATTCTTTTGTCTTATAAAAGTGTTCATTTTTGTTCCCTGATCACGGAAAAAATAACAAAAAAATCGTAGGTGGCATATTTTAGCCGCAATAGGGTAGGGAAGTCTGGCAAAAAAGGGGCGTTGACAGAGCCTTCACCAGACGAGGTCTACTTCGCTCAAGCTGTCAGGTGGCAGTTGCTATAAATATATTATTACCTAATTATTTCAATGTCTGATTTTTTCTTAGTTTTTTGCAGTACAGTAATATTATTCATTAGAGTGAATTGTAATATATTTATATACTGTAATAAAATGTGTGAACCATCCCTGTACTCAAAATTATGGTGTGCATATTAGTGATTCAATTATTATGATCATAAAACAACAAATACTTTTGCTGTTATTACACTATATACACAGGTTATATATAAGTATCTGCATGTTTTGCTCACCATAATGAACCACTAAGTTGGTATTGTGAGTCAAAATCCAACGAGGAGTGACCGCCACACACCAACCAGCCACTCGCTGCCACTCCCTCCCTCATCAACACCTCACTCGCCCTCATTCTCCTCCCACAATACTGCTTTTGCATTTATTCACTATACACAGACATTATCTATAAGTATTTACATGTTTTGTTCACCATAACTGTACATCTAAGCTTGTATGGTGAGTGAAGGTACAAAGACGTAGCTACTCACACAATCAGTTGGTGGCGGCTGCCCTCAAGGCCAGACGTACTAATATTTCTCCTCCAACAATACTGTTTGTGGTGTTATTACTCTATATACACACACATTATATATAAGTATCTACCTGTTTTATTCACCATACTTGTACAAATAAGCTGGTATGGTGCCCAAAGACCATAGTGGCCACCAGTAAACAACATGATAAATCGTACAGACGACTCCACCGCCCTCACCAAAATGGCGGCTCCCAACATACTCCTATTGCTGTTATTACACTCTATACACACATTATATATAAGTATCTACATTTGTGTTCACCATAGCGAACCACTAAGCTGGTATGGTGAGTGCAGTCAATAAACGGTGGCCACACACAGTCAGAAGACGACGCCACAACCCTCCCTCCACAGCCTTACTCCTCCCTCCATGGAGCACAGCGCTAAATATCACCACAATCCTGCTATTATCAGAATCCTGGTCAGTTTTATCACAGTCAGGGGTCTTTTGTAATACTATCATTGCTAAATAATAGCATGAACATATATATTATCACATTTGTAGGCGATGTGGTCACAAGCTGAACAACGGTGCTGTGAGCTCATGTTGCATGCATCAGCCTTGGTGGCTCGCTGGATACTGAAGCTCTCACACCCAAGAATGTTAGCCTGGATTTTTTTTCTAAGTAGCATCTGGCAACTATTGGTCCTGGCTGCACTATAGCTGCCCCTATCTCAGACGGGGCATTTAAATTATAGCGCTAGACACGAAATCATATATATGACATGCGCGGTTTCGATTTTGTCACTGAAACCATATATATATATATGATTTGCGCGGTTTAAGGGTTAATGCTGGTTTTATCATTTAGAATCAATCTCTTGTGGATGATGGTTTATTTTGTAATAGACTTATTATGTACATTTTTTATTGCAAATTATGTGGTATGAGGCACATAAGCACTGTTGAATGTGTTTGATATCACATAGTCATTTTGGTACGGTTTGAAAACATCAAGATTCATTTATTTTCATTTGCTTCAGGTAATGATGTAAAAGTTCCTTCTGAGGTGGTGGTGATAAACTCCATAATTCTTCCATACAAAGAACTCTCTGCCAGCACCAAAAATGAGATCGTTCTCTGAGTGACTGCACTTGTCTTTAAAGTTGAGAGCATGTTGTGTGGGGGGGGGGGGGGAAGCATGTTGTGTGGGGAAAGGGGGAAGAGCATGTTGTGTGTAATTACAGTACCTAAGTGTAGTTACAGGATGAGAGCTATGCTTGTGGTGTCCCGTCTCCCCAGCACTCTGTCATATAACGCTTTGAAACTACTGACAGTTTTGGCCTTCACCACTTTCTCACCTAACTTGTTCCAACCGTCTATCACTCTGTTTCTGAAAGTGAATTTTTTTATATTTCTTCGGCATCTGTGTTTAGTTAGTTAAAATCTATGACCTCTTGTTCTTGAAGTTCCAGGTCTCAGGAAATCTTCCCTATCAATTTTATAAATTCCTGTTACTATTTTGTACGTAGTGATCATATCGCCTCTTTTTCTTCTATCTTCTAGTTTTTGCATACAGTATTTAATGCCTCTAACCTCTCCTCATAGCTCTTGTCCTTCAGTTCTGGGAGCCACTTAGTGGCATGTCTTTGCACCTTTTCCAGTTTGTTGATGTGCTTCTTTAGATATGGGCACAACACAACCACTGCATATTCCAGCTTTTATCTAACAAAAGTCGTGAACAATTTCTTTAGTATTTTGCCATCTATGTACAGTATTTAAAAGCAATTCTGAAGTTAGAAAGTTTAGCACATGCCCCTCGCACAATGTTCTTAATGTCATCCTCAGGTGATAGTTTTCTATGTAGAACCACCCCTAGATCTCTTTCTTTATCAGAATTCTTTAAAGATTTCTCACATAATTTATAGGTTGTGTGGGGTCTATGTTCTCCTATTCCACATTCCATAACATGACATTTATTAACATTAAATTCCATTTGCCAAGTGGTGCTAACAATCGTCTAAGTTACTTATCTTCCTATATTATCTTAGCATCATCAGCAAACATGTTCATATAATTCTGTATACCAACTGGTATATCATTTATGTGGACAATAAACATCACTGGTGCAAGAACTGAACCCTGTGGTACTCCACTTGTGACATTTCTCCATTCAGATACATTGCCTCTGATTACTGCCCTCATTTTTCTATCAGTCAGAAAATTTTTCATCCATGATAGAAGCTTACCTGTCACCCCTCCAATATTTTCCAGTTTCCAGAACAACCTCTTATGTGGAACTCTGTCGAAAGCCTTTTTTAGGTCCAGATAGATGCAATCAACCCAACCATCTCTTTCCTGTAATATCTCTGTGGCTCGATCATAGAAACTGAGTAAATTCGATACACAGGATCTTCCAGATCGAAAACCATACTGTCTGTCTGATATTATATCATTTCTCTCCAGGTGTTCTACCCATTTAGTTTTGATTAGTTTTTCCAATATTTTGACTATTACACTTGTCAATGATACAGGTCTATAATTAAGGGGGTCTTCCCTGCTGCCACTTTTGTAGATTGGAACTATGTTAGCCTTTTTCCACACATCAGCTACAGCTCCTGTACACAGGGATGCCTGAAAAATCAGTTGAAGTGGAATGCTGAGCTCAGGTGCACATTCTCTCAGAACCCATAGTGAAACTCCATCTGGACCAACTGCTTTGTTCTTACTTAGCTCCTTGAGCATTTTTTCCACTTCGTCTCTAGACACCTCTATGTGGTTCTCTGGAATTCTTATTGTGTCTGGTTCCCTAAAGATTTCATTTTGTACAAACACACTTTGGAACTTTTTGTTTAGTGTTTCACACATTTCCTTTTCATCTTCCGTGAATCTATTTCCCATTTTCAACCTCTGAATATTATCCTTTACCTTCAATTTGTTGTTAATGAATTTATAGAATAGACCTGGTTCTGTTTTACATTTGTCTGCAATCCCTTTTTCAAAATTTCTTTCTGCCTCTCTCCTCACTGCCGTGTAGTTGTTTCTCGCATCTTTGTATCGCTGGTTTGTTTGGGGGTTCGGCCTCTTCCTGTATTGATTCCATTTTTGTGTCGTTTGGTCTCTAGCCCCCTCACAATTTCTATTGAACCAATCCTGTTTCCTAGTTCTGCATCTGTTTTGGTATAAATTTTTTTGTGCCTTTATCATATATTTCACAAAACTTGACATACATCTCATTCACTTCCTTGCCTAGCATCAAGTCTGTCCAATTATACTCACTAAAAAAATTTCTAAGGTCACCATAATGACCTCTCCTGAAGTCTGGTTTTTCAACTGCTTCAACCTCCTTATTTTCTTTCAGCTTATAACGCATTGCATACTTTATTCCCAAAAAGACATGGTCACTTTTACCCAAGGGAGGAAGGTACTGAATGTCAAATATTTCTTCCTCCTTCCTGGTAAATATCAAATCTAGCATGGAGGGGACATCCCCTTCCCTCATCCTCGTAGCTTGTTTAACATGTTGATACAAGAATGTTTCCAGGATGGGGTCTACAAATTTACAGGTCCAAAAATCTTCTGTTTTAGCTTCATATGCTTCCCAGTCTATGGATTTCAGATATGGATATTTTGTCCAGGTCTTCTTGAAGGGCATGACAATCATCTAAATTTCTTATCCTTCCTATTATCTTAGCATCATCAGCAAACATGTTCATATAATTCTGTATACCAACTGGTAGATCATTTATGTACACAATAAACATCACTGGTGCAAGAACTGAACCCTGTGGTACTCCACTTGTGACATTTCTCCATTCCGATACATTGCCTCTGATTACTGCCCTCATTTTTCTATCAGTCAGAAAATTTTTCATCCATGATAGAAGCTTACCTGTCACCCCTCCAATATTTTCCAGTTTCCAGAACAACCTCTTATGTGGAACTCTGTCGAAAGCCTTTTTTAGGTCCAGATAGATGCAGTCAACCCAACCATCTCTTTCCTGTAATATCTCTGTGGCTCGATCATAGAAACTGAGTAAATTCGATACACAGGATCTTCCAGATCGAAAACCATACTGTCTGTCTGATATTATATGATTTCTCTCCAGGTGTTCTACCCATTTAGTTGTGTGTGTGTGTGTGTGGGGGGGGGGGGCACATGTGTGTAATTACCTAAGTGTAGTTACAGGACGAGAGTATCAAGTTACAGGACGAGAGTATCAAAGCGTCATACGACAAAGACAGGACACCGTGAGCATAACTCATCCTGTAACTACACTTGGGTAATTACACACAACATGCTCTACCTCCACACATGTTTTGTTGGTGGAGGAGCATGTTGTGTCGAGGGAAAGGTAAGGATCTTATAAAAAATAAAGTGAGTTCTACATTAACTGACTGACCCATAACACATTTGCAGAAATATGAATTAAAAGGCTTATGCATTTATTTATAGTATTCTTATTTATGAGCTGTGCTATATGTAATAGTTTTTAAAATTAATACAAGTCAATTGGTAGTTGATTTAAATTGTTAATTTGTGTGGTAAATTTAATTTCTTCTTCAGGATGCAATGTAACTGTTCCATCTGAGGTGATAGTCCTGAACTCCATTGTACTGCCTTACAAGGACCTTCCACGCAGCTACAAGAATGAGATTATCCTCTAGGTTAAGTGTTTAAAGATATTTGTTACTAATACAGTACTGTACAGTAATCCTGTCTACAAATAATTTTCTTTGAATACATATACAGAGAGAAATTTTAGTCTTGAGGTGGATATTTAAGAGTTAGATTTTCAATATATTTAGTGAATGTAACCTTATATTTTTAAATGAAGTTTATAAAACATCAAATCTTGTTTAATGTAAAAAAAAAAAAAAAAAATTACTAACTGCTGAAATGGTTTGGCAGTTGCTTGTGAAAATAATAAACAAAACATTGGTCATAAAAGCTGTTTTATTAATTTAAATATTCACACTCTTTCATTCATGTTGATTGAGATTCAGTATATATATGTGGTGTACCACCTTTGTATACCTTGCTTCAATATTTTATTAGCAAATCGAGCACTGAATGTAATGAAACATTTTCTGTTGTGGCCCTAGCCAGTAGCTCCCCGAGCTAACTGTTGATATGGTCGAGCACCAGGCCTCTGATATCACAACCAGCTTCTCCTTGCAAGGCCATTGTCACAGATCAGCCCAGAGAAAATCAAAAGAAAAATGTAACAAAACAAGCAATTGGACAAAATTAGGTACAACGTAGTAACAAAGCAAATGATTATTGCCCTGGAGTAAATCCTAACCGTGATGTGCTTGTCTTCCACCAGGTGGTAGCTCAGGTCACATGCTCTTTCATTCACAAGCTGCACGAACTAAACTCCTCCAACCTCACAGGGATGGGAAGGTACAGAAGGTACACCAGAAAAGGGCATTTCACTACATTTAACACTTAATATCCAGGAGGGTATCCTCAGTAGCTCATTGAGCACACAATGGTGCCTATGCAGTACCTGTAGTTAGAATTTCTGAAAAATTTAAAAAGAGTCCAGAGCCTGAAGACAATTAATGAAGAAAATGCCAGGAAAGCTGCCAAAGCAGCACACACACACACTCCCAACATGGAAATAAGGGCACACAACCTGTTGGCCAAAACTAAAATCCTCAGAGGGACATCAGAAAACCAACAGGTGGAAAAACCAGGCACGGAGACCAGAATTTCAGGGCCATGAGCCTCAGAAACTGGTCACTAGACCCGATGACCAGAAACGTCCAATGTGGGATGTGGCCCGGATACAAAGTCCTGATCCCCCCAAAAAATGGAACACTGCGATGATGACTGCGACTGTCTGAAAAACAATGGTCACCCCCAGCCTGGAAGCCAGAGGATGCCCACCCAACAAGGGCACACAACCGACCAGAAACCACTGGTCAAAGCCTGGGACCCAGGAAGTACCAGACTTGCAGCTCAATGCCCAGGGCCAGAACCTGGCACCAAGACTAGGAAAGGGGGCAAAACCTCACTCAGAACAAGAAACTCAAGGGCAAAACCACAATGCCACAGCATACCATCAGTAGATCTGGGGCCTGCTAGAGAAAGCAAGGCATTTATGCAAATATTCAGCAACATTGCCAATAGATGTGTGCAAATAGAGGGAGTAGCACCCCAAGAATACGTGTTAAATGATGAAGTTTTGAAGGGAGCCTCTACAAACATAACATGGCATGGGAAAGCCCCCAGATGCCCCACATCTAGAGAAGGGATAGAAGGGAAGAGGGAAACCAGCTGGTTGAATTAGGCAAAACATCAAGCCCATTGAACAGCTGATCAGGAGAAAGAAAAGGAAGGATACTCAACCAAACCAAGAGAAAAGTCTAGGATAACATCTCACATTATTCACCAAGCACAATGGTCATAGGGGCGAGCTGATCAGACCAAAACCAGGGGAGAGAGAGAGAGAGAGATTACACCCCTCCCCAAAGCCTTGGGAACTGCCCTTTCAGAAGATTAGACAATGGTCTAATCTAATTTTAGATTATCTCAAGATAACCTCAAGATGGGAGACGAGACCATAAAAACTGAGCGACAAAGCCAGAAATGCACCCGTGGGATGGGCAGAGGTGGCCCTGGGAATGGAGGAAAGACACACAATCCTCCTGGATAAACAAACCTTCAAGCTTAGCTGAAACAAAGCCTAAAAGAGGGACACGGGGCAAACTGTCTCCCTGTCATGGATCTCCCCAAAGCCCACTTGCACCATTGGAGAGGTACAGTCAGGGTCCGAACCTACAACCCCCAAAATACCCAAAGCTGAGAGGGAGAATAGAAGCATTCCTGGCGGGCTGCCAGGTGTGCTATCCATCTTCAGGTTATCTTGAGATGATTTCGAGGGTTAGCGTCCCCGTGGCCCGGTCCTCGACCAGGCCTCCTTTTTGTTACACACTCCCATGAAGCAGCTGTCTAACTCCCAGGTACCTATTTACTGATAGGTAACAGGGGCATCAGGGTGAAAAACATTTTACCCATTTGTCTCCACCTTCACCGAAGATCGAACCCGGAACCTCAGGACTACAAATCCGAAGCGCTGTCCACTCAGCTGTCAGGCGCCCTCGCCTATCCATAGGTGAGGTCTCGAGAAGAGTCAACTATTAGAGGAGGAACCCATAACCCTCTGGTGGGGGCAAGGTACACAAAAGCCAATATTTAAGGAAGGTAACCCTGGAATACAGTTTGAACTACATTAACAACCATGGCACATTAAATGTGGCCGACAAAAAATACAAATATGAAGGAAACACAAAACAACAGTACAATTGAACAACTGTGGCCTCTGATGATCATACAATGTTCTGTGACTTTGGTACCTCTATCTTCACTGACTCTCTTCTGCATTTCCTTCCATATCACTTGCTCCAGTATGTTGTTATTCTTGTGTAAATTTGGGACCTGACCTGCCAGTATTTTCAATTTATATATAATTTGATACCTCTCACATCTCCTTTCTAGAGATGAGGTATCAAAGTGGCTGGGTGGTTGAATGTTCATCATCATTTTCCTACTTTTAAGGGCATTTTTCATTTTGTTAATGCACACTTGTTCTTACTGGTGACACAGTCGTTCACTTTTGAGTGACATGTCTCGGGTGTGGGTTGCTTTGCTTTGATGTCCAAAGGGATTAGAAAGGATGGGGGTTATGTCTGCTTTACAAGGGGTGGGGAGGTACACGACTGTGTGCATTTTCCCTATCACTGCTTAGGTGTTGTCAGTAGTTTAAATAAGTTTATACTCTCCTTTTTTTTCTCCTAGTTGTGCAAAGTGCGGGGTTACACTTTGGCATTGGCTCTTTGGGCCCGCCACTCACCCGTCATTCAACTGGTGTGCACATTCCTGAGCTTCTCAAGCTACTGCATTTTTACATTTGCAGCCTTCACCTCATCACTGCCTCCTGCATTACCTTTTGTTACTCCTCTGCCCCTGGACAAGTTTTTTTTAATGTGTCTGTGGCTCCTTTGGGTACCTGACTACCACCAGTCCCATTATAGGTTTATCAATGCCGACCTTATCTGTTCCCTAGGAATTGTGGGTGGTGGTTGTGTCTTCCTGTCTTGTGTTCCAGGGCAGTCTTGTCTTGTGTTCTGGCTTGCCTGGATTCACATCGGGGGTGAGTGGTTTTCCTGGCTCGTGAGTGGGCAGCTCATTCTTGGTTTCAGGTGCTGCTTGCTTTGTATCCGAACATGGGCAATTTTTTCTGCTCCTCCGCCTCTTTCAGCAGGTCGGTCCAGTGAAGTACCTCGCTGGTTCGACTTGCTGTTCCGCACTATGCGTCTGGTTTTTCTGACAAGTGTGTATCGCTAATTGTATGGTAATCAGGTGACTTTTTTTTATGGTGTTTCTCCTGTGGTCTTCTCAGCGACAGTATGAAGTTTCTTGACTGTCTTTCCATCATTTTCTTTCTCTTCATCGGTTTTTGGACCAGGTTGTTTTGCCCTCTTGACTTTTATTTTTTTATTTTGTTTTTTTGGGGGAGCGGTATCTCTTGCCTATTACTGTGTCTTCGTACTGCACGGCGTTGGTGGCGCCGCTGCTGCTTGTGTTCAGGGTGCATGTTACTTCTGCTCAGTTCTGCTAACTTTCTCATGCGCTTTCTCACCTCCGGCCTGCTTGTGTGCCGCCTCAGCCTTCTTGGTCTTCGGACCACGTTCACTTTTTTTTTCTTCTCCCTCAGTTGCTTAATTTAGAAACTGTACTTGTGGTCGGTCTCGAGCCCATTGTTGATGTGACGAGTGCATTGAATTTTTTAACTAGTTCATCAAGATTGTAACTTGCTTAACTAAATTAATTGTGGGGTTTGATCCATTAAAGGCTTCTAACACTTTCTACTACCACCCACAGGATGGGTATTGTGTGCATAATAAATGAACTGAACTAAACTTTCTTCTAGCTTCATGCCCACCTCCGACGTTTGGGGTTCTGTAATTTTGGGCCAGGTGGTCATTTTGTTTGTTTACTGCCATCGTTTCTGGCGTAGAATGAGACGGCTGGCTTCCGGAGGGGTCCTTTGGTTGTGGGTGCTTAGTTGGTTAGGCTGGGGGCGTGTCACATGTTGTGTCCGGTTGCAGCTTTATGCTGCTACCTGCGGGCCACTGGTTCTGTGCCGGTGGACGTTCTCTGGGTGGATCCGGTTTCCTTGGTTCCCTGTTCCAGGGCTCGTGTCTCACGTTTTCCGGTGTCATGAAGTGCCAGCCATTGGTCTACCCTCATGCCCATGATGTTAGGATGTATGCTGCTCTCACGGAGGGTTCTAGCAACATGTCTTAGGTTAGCATTTGAGTACAGCACGGGAGTTTTGGAGGTCAGAGTCCTGGTCACCAGGTGTCTTGTGAACGTTTCAGTTCCTTTCCGGCCATGTGTGGCTTTAGAACACCTGTCGCGGCCTCGTCTCGAGACCTGCGATGCTGCTGCCTCCCTGGTAAGTCCCTCCTTTTACTTATCTTTCTGTAGTTAACCTCAGGGAACCGACGGGGCTTCCCACAGAAAACCAGCATTGAATGCAATGAAAATGCCATTTTCTGGGCGAGCCCTGAAGACTTCCCGACACCCTCCTTCCTTCCAGTCGGTGGTTTTTCATCATTCAACAACTTTAGTAGGCTGCCGGCTCCCCCTTTTCCCCCTATGGGAGAAAAGGGGGGAGATAATGTTAACGAGCAGGAGTGCTAGTTGCATGAAGTACTGCTTGTTGGGTTTCTTTCTAGGAGAGTTAATTTGATTTTTTTGTATGTAGATTGCACAGGTTAACCAGACAGTGGTCTGTTTTGATTCGCCCACCTTTCTGGGTCTTTCCCGGGTCAATGGCAATTATGACATACTTTAAAGTGCTCATAGCTCATTGCTCCTGCGCCTCTGAGGAGGCCAGGTTCTGGCTCGTGGTGCCTGGTAGGCTGCAAGACTGATAACCCCAAACTAATAGCACATATCAGTTAGATAGCTTATGGAGCCCCCAAGGCTTGCCCAGAAAATGGCATTTCATTACATTTAATGCTTTTTTTTTTTTGGGTAGGGGGGGCTATGGCTTCATGGGAAGAACATTCTTTGCAGTTATGCGCTTGTCATATTTCTTTCTGCCACCCAGATAATAATCTGATGGTCACTTTCAGGGAGGTGCCACACTGGGTGTGATGGACTTGTTAACCTGGTTGCAATTCCCCTTGCCTTTGGCCTTCTCGTAGGGGATGCTGGACTGCTAGAGTGTGGTGTGCCTGGCTTCTTTGTCTCGTCAGAGTAGTCCCAAAGCAGTTTGGATTTTCAGGACCACCTTTGCTTGGACAATGTTAGTGGGTGTTCTTCTGGTGGTTGCCCCAACCCGGTCCAGGATAAAGACAGTCAACCTCAAGATCTCTCTCATTTTCTGGCTGTTAGGAGCCCATTGATTTTTGTGCAGGGTGGAGTGTTTTAGTTGTTAGTGCCCCTTCTCTTCCCTCGGGCATTTTGCAGAGGTTTTCGGTCTACCCCAGTGCTGCCTATATTTTTATAGTGTCGAGGCTTTGAGGACTAGTGTGGACTTGGGCTGCTTGACAATCTTTGGTTTCAAGTTCCATGGGTTATCTGCTCTGCCCGGGTGATTTCTGGGTTTTGAGGGTGCAGCATATTTGCCTTTTGTGGGCCTGTCATCTCTGCTGGCAGTGATGTGGGTGGATTTGCTTTGGTTCCTGCTTTTATGCAAGGGTTTTGCCTTGGAGGTTAGTTCCAGCCTGTGTTTGGGCTTTGGTCTTTTCCCTGGCAGGCTGATATTTCCCAGCTACTTTGAGTTATTGGTACACCTAATGTTCCTACACCATGCATTGGGTAAATTTTGAGGTCTGACCCTGTTATGACTTTTTAGCTTGTGGCAGCTCCTTGTCAGTTTGTGCTGGTTTTGTTCCACTTGGTGGGACTTTGGAGGTTTAAATCTTCAACTGGTTGCCGTGTGGGCTAGTGTCTGGCCCACGTGGGTTTTTGTACTGGAAATTTCCATGGGGCTCGCTGGGAATTTGTCTGGTGATGCTCTCCCTTAAGGTATTTTCTTTGTCCTCTTTCTTTTGCACTCCCCCTTTTTAGAGGTGAAGGTTTCCCAGATGATCAAGGCTGCTGGCTCTGCCCTTAAGCCAGGCATGTTTTTTGCATCGAGCTAAAAGCTGCTAGCCACTTTTTCTGCCAATGTGATTGGGAGTTGGTAAATCACCATTCCTATTGCTATCTTACAATGCTAATTTTGGTATTTATAATACTGTACATATTTTACACTTCCATTTTTTATGATTTTCAAGAGTTTTCAATAAATTTATTACAAAAATAGGGCTGTATGGCACAATTAAGCGAGACTTGCATATACTACTGTACAACATTTTATATATATATACAATTTATTATGTTATATATATTATTTAGGGGTACCACCCCACTGGTGCAATTGAAGGGACCCACATCCTCGAAGAAAAAAAGAGTTCAGAAGACCTTGTGGATTCTCGCTGAACACTTTAATCTTTTCCTTTCCCACCACCCCTATTATTTTTTATCAATATTGCATTGCTACAGTTTACAGAGAACACACACTTGTATAAGAATACAGTACCTGTAGTACCTCAGAATACAAGTGTCCCTAAATAAGAGTTTTTCGGAATACGAGCAGTATTTGCTCGGAAAATGTGTCTCGTAAGGCGAGTTTGTCGATATGCGTACAGGCAGACCTAGTGCGTCGTGGTATGGTGATCGTCGCCCCTCACCCCTCACGCCCAGTGACTATCCCACGTCAATTCTTCACCAGATTTTCAGTGTTTTGTTGGATTTTTGGTCATTTGACCATAAAAGTTATTATATATCTCGCCATGGGTCCCAAGAAAGTCAGTGGTAAGGTTTAACCTAAGAAAATAATGCGGCGTTTCAGGCAATCGAGTTGCAACACTGAAAAGTATACAGTCTTCACTGTCCTGACATTAATTTTCGATGTACATATTTCAATTTTGTACCAATGTGTTCGCAATAGAATGTTCTAGAAGAACACAAGTATAAAATGTCACAAGGATGCGTTAGACCGGCACCAAATAAAAAACTACGTCGAATACACTTGTTGTGTCAACAATACAATGGTCTTACCTCGATGGTGCAATGCTATGCTGTTCTCCCAAATAGGCTATGCGGCTATTAGGGAAAACGGAAATTTCATGGCGGACATTTTCAAACTATCTCAAAGTCGATCGCATAAATAGTGTATAGAAATTTTTTCTCGTGACTTGTGAGCGAGTCCACTGTGCGATCTCAACACAAAAAGTGGTAATGCTCTTGAGCGCCGTGATAACGCTAAAGTGTTAAGAAAATGTGTGAAGTATGGGAAGAATTGCAAAGTTTTGTTGAAAAAACTCACCCAGATAAAGCTGTAGCAGGCCGTTGCATTGACTTTTTAAATGGCAATGTGATGTCTTACTACAGACAAGTGTTAAAATGTAGGGAAAAACAAGTGTCTTTAGACAGATTCTTTAGTAAGACAAGCAAGCAGCGAGCCACAAGCAGGTCCTAGTGGTATGCAGGCAAAACGTGCCAGAGTGTGCACACCAGTGAAGTCCTCACTGCCTGATGTTATAATGGAAGGGGACTCCCCTTCCAAACAGTAACACCTCTTCTCCCTCCTCCTCACCATTTTCCATACGCCAACAGCAAGGTAAGTAATAACTTGAACATAGTTTTGTAGGTTTAGATGAATTAGGTATAAAGTTTAGTTTGAAGTGAGGTTTTTGGGGTCGTCAGGAACGTTTTAATTCATTTCCCATTATTTCTTATGGGGAAATTAGCTTCGGAATAAGAGTTTTGGGAATACGAGCTGTCTCCAGGAACGGATTAAACTCTTAAACCGAGGTACCATTGTATAAAAGTGTTCGAAGACCTTGTCCAGCTATATATATAAAAATAGTACCAACAATGAACTTAAAAGGAGAAAGTCTAAGTTCTCCATTAAAGTTTATTGGCAACTACCTATATTTGGACTTTAATCCAAGTTTGTTGACATTTGCATTAAGAACAGGATAACTGCATGAACCAGATCAAATATAAACAAGGGGCACAAACATAGTATTCCTTAATTATTTATTGTGCTACATAGTCTTCCCGGCTTGGTGCCTTCTTTTGACAATTATTTACTCAATATGCCAAAAATGGACCAGTAATAATAATCAGGTTTAATTGTAATTATTTTAATTCAACTGTCACAGCTTTAAAATAAGATTTAGGTGGGCTCTCATTTAGGTTTGCAGAATGCCACAAATTACACTTATCCAATAGTATGAAAATTAGAAAAGCACACAGGTTGACTTCATAATAAACTGATCTTCCTTGCGATTATAACAAACTACAACATTGCTTGCTTGGTTTCAGTGAAAATCCACTAGAGACCAAGTGCACTCCTTTCCTACCCCCACACTCAACCTGTTTGGTTTTTAGCACATTCATGCAATTATTTCAGTTTTTAGTCTGCAAATGGAAATATAATTTTAATTATAATTTTAAAAGCAATTACTTTTTCACCACTTAATAAAGCTGATCTTTAAGCTCCAGCCAGCTTACATAATCACCAATTTCCCCTTTTCAAAGTTATACTGTACCTAAATTTCCAGTTAACTGCAGTCTCACCTTAATACAAAATTTATAACTATTTGCTAACACTGCAAATAGAATGGATCTTAACACACTACTGTAGTTAATTACTTAGCAATATCACCAATAACTTGCAATTTTTTTTTTTTATAAAGTGCAATACAGGACAAGACTAAATTACTGCTTTATAAAAAATAATTATCCACTTCTGTATGTTCTTTATATAAAGGAATAAGTTTTCTTGTTTATACTTTTACTTTTCATATTCCATTACCTTCAAGCATTTTTCACAGGTAATTTGGTTATGACAGCCTTGACTTCATAGTAGTTACGCAAGGCATACTCGGAGTTCTCTCGTCCTTGTCCAGACATTTTGTAGCCTCCAAAAGGAGTTTGAGCATTCAGTACATCATAGCAGTTAATCCTGAAAGAGAGTTACCGTACAGAGTATATGCACAAGAAAATATATATACAATAGCTACCATAAGCAATACAAATCTGTTAACCCAACCTATTTTGGACTTAAAAAGACCATGTGCAGCTGACAAATAGTCTTACAACCTACAAAGTGTGGATAGAATGAGAAATGTGATCACTGCAACAAAACTTTTTGAATGGTGTTGCCACGTGGTCCAGGGAAAACAGTAGAAGCAAAGTTCCGTCACACTTACCGAGAGACTACGTGTTATAACACCAAAGAACCTAATGAAACTTTCACTACCAACTACACAAGATAATTGGCAAGGCAAGGATAGCCAATTACTGCTCTTCAAACTACTAGTAAACAAGCTGCTATTAAACTGCCACCTGATGGCAGGTAGGTCACACAACAGCTTCATGAAAGCTGGTCAACCTCACGGTCCCTGGTGTTAACCCTACTTTGATGCCGCAACAGAAAGTGCAAACAGTTCTATGCCGGCTCTGCTCTGCAAAGGCCAGTTTAGTCAAGTTGACCAGTTTTTTCTATTGAGAATGTTTAGTCCTGGACTAATTATCATGAATTATTAAAAGTATATGTACATTTTGTTTTGTACATTTGAAAATCTCCAGTTGCAACACATACTTTGTAGGTTTGAGTGACTTGCAAGGTGTTTGGCAGAGCTAATCACTTAATTACTGTATATATATGCTTGCCAACGAAAGCTTAAATTAACATTAGTGACCAAAAGAGCTACACAGTTGCATTACAATAAGAATTATTATTTTACTATCATGCATTAAGTTTCAAGTCAATGCACAAGAGTTTGTAATACACAGAGGCCACTTCAAACCAAGATATCCTCCTCACTGGATAATAGTCAATATTGTACATGAAAATCCTCATACATACCAGACAGTGCCAGCACGAAGGCCTTGCACGAACACGTTAGCCTTGTCCAAATCCTTCGTAAAGACTGCTGCTGCTAGACCATACTCCGAGGAGTTGGCACGTTTTATCACATCATTAATATCACTAAACTTAAAGATCTGTTGGACTGGCCCAAAAATCTGAAAGTTAAAAGTTTACTTATTATTCATAATACCTGTACCATATAGTAAACATTTAAAGGGAATAGTTGATGCATGCATTACAATGCCTTAGTTGATCACACAAGGGAGGAATTTATATATATTTGTTAATTACAATGGGAGATTGTGTCCATGATCAGTAACTGCAGGTAACTGATTATACTACATCTCGAGCATAGGCCACAATTACTATTAGTCCTACATTAAAATAGAAATGGATTACCATACATTAAAATATTAACACTTTCGCTCCCCTGGCATGCGCGCCGCAAACTTTGAGGTCATGCCCCCGGCATGCAGGTGAGTGCTCGGCGACACCGAAATATGCATACTCGTTTCAGTTCTCACCTAGATTCTCGTGCTACGTCGTTCGTTTTGGTATCATTGTGTTCGCAATAGAATTCCCTACAGGTGTATATGCATATAATGTTCAAAAGCCCAGCGTGACTCCCCACAGCAAAGCCTAAAGTTGCCCGTGAACGAGCACCAATTTGCACACTGCAGCCTAATGTGTATACTCAGTTTGATAACATCAATTTTGGTGTTACGTCTTTCATTTTGGTATCAAATTGTTCACAATATAGATGCGTATTTTAAAACTAGTCCCATAATAATAGAGCAATAACTGGAATTTTAACAAATATTTTAATTTTGGACGCTCATCATAAAATTATTTATATCTTTCCAGTGTTGTGACAAATTTTCATGTTGCATCTTTTATTTCGGTATCAAATTGTTCACAATTTAAAGGCGCGCATTTTGAAATTATCCCAAAGTCGATCAGATAAAAAATGATTTTTATACAAATTTTATTGGACTCTTGCGCGAGTCACGCCAGCGGACTCGAGAAAAATTAATGCCAGCGGCGTTGCGAAAGTGTTAAACATTTACACTGATAGTTATATTTACTAAATGGTGAAAGTAACTGAAAATCATCCAATAGTTCAATATACTATACTGTATTACCAAAATTATGAAAGAAATATGCACTTCCTTACTGTAATTTGTCATACAAAGCAGGAAAGAAGGCAGGAAATAATCAAATCCTAAAACAACAAGAACTGATAAAACTGCAGGCAGCTTAGACTGTGTTGTCCCACATGTCTAACATCATGCATGGCGGTTCTTATGTATACCCAACCAAACTAACATTGCCTCAGGAAATATGATAAGTCACACACCTGTTTACCAACCTAGTGATTAACAGTAAGGTTTAAAAATGAATATTAGTATGTACAGTAATATATTTCAAAACTTCTACTTCAAAGTTGATAAGAAAATATAGTCATGAATATTCACTGAACACCTTTTATCCAAAATTTATCAAAATTAAATTAATAAATATTTAAAGAATTTTCAACCCTTTTGGGTAAAGATTTCATTATTGTATATCAAATATACCCCAAAGACTACTTATGCAACCCATGGAAACTTGTATCCCTAAAGAGGGGGGGGGGGTGTGAACCACCATTTCTACAACCCATATCTCATACATTTTTATGATTTATAAATTCAGTATACTGTACTTAAATTCCATCATTGGATGGGATACGAAGTTTTCTGTAAAACGTCAAAAGGAGCCATATAGCTTGTGTTTTATCAAGGTATTCACTGTTTTCTAAAGGCATCATAAGCAACTCAACAGAAGTGTACAATGTATTTACAATAAGCAAATATAGTATTCATCTGAAGCAAGTTATGGCACTTAAATTCTCAATACAATAAGGGGGAAAAGATTTAGGTATACTGTACAGCCATATAACAGGGATGCCTAGTGAATATGATGCAACCTTCAATAGCATTAGGGATTGTGTAACTAAATATAAGATGTACTGTACTGTACTTAAAACATTGATTGCTCAGCATTCATACTTACTTCCTCCTTAGCAATACGCATGTTATCTTTCACATCGGCAAAAACAGTAGGTTCAATGAAGAAGCCTTTCTCGCCGACACGTTTACCCCCAGTACACATTTTGGCTCCTTCCTTCTTGCCAGATTCAATAAGGGATAAGATCTTCTTCATCTGCTCTCCATCCACCTATTAAATTACCAGTATAATATGCAGTGCTGTTGTATCACTAGCAAAATTCTTAAATATCTAATACAGCAATCTGAAGAAAAAATATTTGTAAAGGGATTGTCAAGTAATCCAAAAATTTCATACAAAAAGGAAGTAAAGAACATGGAACAAAGAGGAAGACTTGCATCTCTGGAAAACACCCATTACATTCCATTCTGTTAATACCAGTAACTTAAACACAGAGAACAATGAAAACATTAATACATTCCAACAATGCTCAGTGTACATCATTTAGTTTGAGCAATTTTGAAATAACTCCATCTACATTCAGAGTATTTATAATAAAGTTGTTTCCCCCTCTGAGTTCTGTCCATCTGTCCTTACTGCAAGACTTATTGGACTTGTTTACATCTGGCTCAGCTATTTACACAGTGATTTACTCACCCTTGAACAAAGGCAAAGACCACATTACTTGTCAAGAACGGCATTACTTATGACTAATGTTTACTTCCTTTAGTACCTGGAAATCCCCTACCTGAATGGTATATTATGAGCTATATTGCTGGGCAACTTCTTGTCTCGTGGACCAACAGTAACATCCCAATTCCCAAGCCTAATCATAAGGCATTTTCTAGTTTCTTCAACAAACTTTTTCTTTTTAACATTTCCACCCAGATGGACAAATTCTTGATCTAAACTGACTTCCCCATTTTTAATCTTTTTGTACCAAGTTTTCTTTCTACTTGTAAGGTGCTTTAGATCCTTTATTTTGGGTCATTATTATTAGATTTGTATGGTATATTACGTTCCTGTGCTTTGCTTAAATTTTTTTAAATGAGTTATATTATGAATCCACAACGAAATCTCTTTTTACATCACCCATCGCTGGGTACATGTCTTACTCCAAGACCAGCTCACCCATCCATGCCCAGGACTTTATATATAATCTAATTCACCCAAAAAATTTCTTACACCATTAAAATCAGCTTTTTGAAAATCTGTCACTAACAATATTCTCCTACAAATCTATTCCATTCTATGCTAAACCTGATTTCTTTGTGATCACTGTTCCCTAGCTCGCTTCCTATTTCGATGTCATTAATTTGCATTTCCCTGTTAGTTAACACTAAGTCTAAAATAATATTTCCACGCGTTGGTTCCTTGAGGTGTTGCTTAACCCTTAAACTGCACAAAACGTCATGATTTGAGACATTGAAGGGGGATATAATTAAAAAAATATTCAAATTATGTAAAAATTACTTAAAAATATTAAATCTCGAACTTATTGGCTTTAGCTTCGTGAAACTATCATCCAAATATTTTTAGAAATTGATTTAAGACGAATATTTAAAAAAATAAACACTTGATAAAGAGAACGGCTCCTATTAATTGGAACTGATGAATAATGCAGTAATAAAGAGATGCAAGCACCTGTACGATGCTCAAAGAAGAAGAAAAGTAGTAAGAAGTTTCCACAAAGTGGATATACAGCTGGTGCCTTTATAGCATTGCTGAGTATTACATTAATAATAATAATAATAATAATAATGAGTAATTATGTTGTTATTCTCTATTTTGTTATACCCTGTATATCAAATATATTTGCCCAATGTTATTATCAGTTGCTTTCAACAATGTCCAAAAATTTTTTTTTAGGGGAGGGGATTTTTTTTTTTTTTTTTTTTTTTTTTTTTTTTAGTTTAGTTTTTTTCCTTTGTTTATTATTTGAATTTGTTTTAACCTTTACATCGTGGAGAATGCATACTCATCCCTAACTATGTAAAGCCAGAATTAAATTGGTCAACAAATAAGTCAGTTACAAGTCAGAACTTGGGATTGAATTTTTTTTGACAATTTTTTCTCAGATTTCAAACCATTTTCCTCGTTTCTTTAGGTTGTTTTGATGATTAGGGACCAGATTTGGGCTTTTTTTTTTTTTTTACTTGTATAAAGTATACCCTAAATATATTCCCTAATCATTATAATTATCCCTATTTTTTGTTTTTTTGGGGGGTTATTTTTTCTTGACTTCATTTCTACACACATTGACCTACAACTTTCACATGCTTGAGTACGAATGCCAAACAATGTTTGTTACAACATACAAGTAAATTCATGAATTAGAACCGCCTTATTCATTGTCAATAACTTTAAATCCTGTAGATCTATAACTAGAATTTCAACTTCAGTATCCAAAAAACTAGTTTCTGACCGATTTTCACCATTTTTCCATGACGTGTGCACAGCTGCTCGCAGCCTGACGTAGGAGTCACAGCAGGTATCCTTTGGAGGCGTTAGTCAAGTTCTATCTTGAACACTGAGGGGTCGGCCCTTATGTGTAGTGGAAGCCTGTTGAACAGTCTCGGGCCTCTGAGAGTTCTCTCTCAGTACCTGTTGCACCTTTGCTTTTCAATGGGGGTATTCTGCACATTCTTCCATGCCTTCTGGTCTCATGTGATGTTATTTCTGTGTGCAGGTTTGGGATCAGCCCCTCTACTATTATCTATGTGTAAATTATTATGTATCTCTCCCGCCTGCACTCAAGAGAATACAGATTTATGAAGAAAATTGTGGCCTGAATGTGTTCCAGAACGAGACCGAGGTGTTTAAGCCTGAACTTGAAGTGCCTCTTGTTGACGAAATTGTTTCTCTGGGCTGGCAATTGGCCTTTGAGTTGGATGGTGCTGATATTGAGGAGTTGGTGGAGGAACACAGCGAAGAACTGACCCCCAAAGAACTCCAAGCCCTTCACAGGGAGCAGCAACAAGAGGCAGCCGAGGAAATTTCTTCAGGGGGGAAGAGGAGGCAGTACAGAATGTCCCCTCCTCAAAAATTAAGAAAATGCGTGCAGCATGGTAAGAACTGCAAACTTTAGCTGAAATGACGCACCCAAATCAAGCTGCAGTAGGCCGTTGCCTTAACCTCTTCAATGACACTGATGCATCATTACAAACAAATGTTAAAATGAAGGGAAAACAAATCTCCATGGACAAATTTTTAGAGACGAACAAGCAGTGAACCACAACCACATCCTAGTGGTATGCAGGCAAAACAGAGTACCCCATAGAAGTCAACACTGCCTGATGTTATAATAGATGGGGACTCCCCTTCCAAACAGTAACATCTCTCCTCCTCCCCCACCTCACCATCTTCCATATGCCAACAAGAGTCCTTGATAAAGATAAACATATGTACTGTACTGTAGTTAGAGAAAAACTTTATTCAGTATAAAATTTAGGGGTGTGGAACGGATTAATTCAATTCCCATTACTTCTTATGGGAAAATTTGTTTCTAATTACGATACATCTCTGGGAACGGATTACAATCCGTAGTCAAGGCCCCACTGTACATAAAAGTCGTACATTCAACACATACATACTGTATCCACTACATATATAAATTCTTTACAAAAGAAGTGAACAAACCTGTGGTCCTTGTTCAGTCTTGAAATCAAATGGGTCTCCCACACTGCGAGTCTTGGCACGTTCAACACTGCGCTCCACAAACTCATCATAAATGCCATCCTCGACAAAGATCCTTGATCCAGCACAGCAGCACTGACCCTGTATAATAAAAATAATTTAAAGTGCATTTAAGTTATTGTTCCTGGTGGAGTTAAACTAATTAGTACAACTTTTCCTTTTAATTTTAAAGTGGAGCATTATTCATTATACTGTACTATTATATAACAAGAAATTTTTTTCCCAATGCGTAAATTTATTACACAGTATCTACCAGATTGAAAACCACACAGTTATAATATTTTTTCTCCAGGTGTTTACCATTTGATTTTAATTATTTTTTCCAACATTTTGACTACTATACTTGTCAACAATACAGTTCTATAATTAAAAGGGTCGTCCCTGCTGACACTTCTGTAGATTGGAACCCGTTTGCCTTTTTCCATATATCTGCCAGGAATGCTGTACACAGATGCCTGAAAAATAAATTTAAGTAGATTCCTGAGCTCAGGTGCACACACTGAAACCAGAGTGAAACCCCCTCTGGACCAACTGCTTTGTTGTGACTTGACTCCTTCAGCATTTTTTCCCACTTCATCTCTGAATGAATTCATCTCTAGACATTTCTGTGCTCTGTTACCTGGAATTCTTAGTGTCTGGTTCTCTGAAAATTTAGTTTTGTATGACATTTTGGAACAGTGTTTAATGTTTCACATATTTCCTCTTCATTTTCTATGAATCTGTTTCCCCTTTTTCACCCTCTGATTTTTATCCTTTACCTGCAACTGGCTTTTAATGAATTTATAGAATAGGCTTGGTTCTGTTTTACATTTGTCTGCTATCCCTTTCAAAACTTCTATCTGCCTCCCTCCTGACTGCCATGTAGTTCTGTCTTGCTTCTGTGTATTGTTGGTATGTTTGAGTGTTGATTCCATTTGTGTCCTTTTGGTCTCTAGCACCCTTGCAATTTCTGTCGATCCAATCCTCTTTCTTAGTTCTGCATCTATTTTGGTATAAATTTGTTTGTGCTTTTATCATATATTTCACAAAACTTTACATACATCTCATTTACTTCCTTGCCTAACATCACATCTTTCCAAATTCATTCAAGAACTTCCCCCACAATTTTTTTTCAAGATGGTGTGTCTGCTTCCAGGAGTCCTGAGACAGGATGTGAGCCCCGTGTAACCGTGGGAGTTTTGAATATAAAGCTATACCTACGAACGCCATAAGGCGCTCTGCACACTGGGTGTGCAGGTTCAAGTCATGGTTTCTACCTATTTTCTCATGTAATAATTGCTCCATTTACATAACTTTCAACCCTTTATATGTGGAATTCTTTGACAATTCTTTCCAGTGCTCCTTTAAAACTAATATTGCAGCATCTAATTTGCCATGATATTTCTTACGAGGTCCCTCTGAGAGGAAAGAATCTTTCTTTTTAAGGACTAAAATATCAAGATAGACAAGTTTAAGTATTGTATTGCTTACCAACCTGATTGAAAAATAGTCCAAAATGAGCCTGTTCAACAGCATAGTCCAAATCAGCATCCTTGAAAACAATGTTTGGACTCTTCCCTCCAAGTTCCAGTGTCACACGCTTTAGGTTGCTAGCTCCAGCTGCCTGCTGGATCAGATGTCCAATCTGAAGATAAATAAAATTATGCCATTTTCATTATAATTTTTAAAATTACCACATACCACAGCCAATTGCTTTTTCTTTAATTAAAACAATATTGGCTACTGGAAATTAAGGAGTTCATAGAATGGCATCAATCCCCCTCATTTGATTCAAAGTTAAAGGCTTATATATAATTTACTGAAGAGATTGAAGTTAAGCTAAAACCAAACCAAGATATTGGTCCTTATACCAACTGACCCTATGGATTTTATACGTGCTGACAAATGTAGTTCTAACACCAAAGCAGAATACTATTTGTAGAATTTTTCAGTGGACTTAATAATAACAAATTAGTATTCATAAAATAACTGTACTGTATATACATTGGTAAATTATAATATTTTTAACAAGGCTCACGAAGACCATGAAGCACTAATCATGCTTCTCACCTAAGTGGATGCAACACAAGCTGCTTATAAAGAAACACTAGACAAGAGCAGCAGGTAAGGTCCACATAGGTAAGGAATCAACGAGGTACTGTCGTGTGATTGGGAAAAGACGACACTAACAATTAGACAGGAAGGGTTGTAGTTTATATTCAAGCAACAGTTTAGTAAGTGGTGGTTGTAGAATGCTATGCACATACTACCATAGTTTTGTTCATTGGTTGTAGAATGCTATGCACATAATACCATAGTTTTGTTCATAAGTGTTTTGTTGGATGGACACCGCTTCCAGAAATTTATTAATGTAGTGCATCTGGTCCACCTTACAACATGGCAACTATCGAGGAAAATGGCCAAAACTCATGCAGACCAAGTAGTTCAGTCTCACTTGCCAAGCATATAACATGATTGCCGATGCCTCTCGTTTTCTTCTTGCTTTTATACGTGTATACAATACTGTATATTATAACTAGTGACATAGGTTTCTGGTTGATGTACAAGACACTATGTATGGTTGCTATCCCTTCCCTATTGAAGAGCTAGGGATTGTCTAGTGCCCTGGATGTTTTCCTAATGTAGATCTCTGCAGAGACTGCAATAGAAAAAAATACTGGTGAGAGCAGTGCGATCTGTACAAGGAATACGTAACACAGTGGAATTCTAACCCTATTTAACAGGGAATTGGATGCCCCCAAAATATTTCAATTAGGTTAGTATATGATGCAATGGTTGGAGTTTGGATAATTCTGATACAATCATCCAAATAATCTAAACGGGTGGAGTTAATTTTTCTAATTAAAATAGTAATTATATATAAATATTTATTATAGCAGTACCTGCGTATCTAATGTTCTATTATCCATAAGCAACTGTTGTGTTTGGGCAGGAATCTACTGTACTGTACTTTAATAGAAGTGGTTCAGCTCTATTTGGTTTATTTTAAGAACTCTTCCAGCAGAATATTTTGAAGTGAAGGAGGAGCTGAAAGTTAATCCTATTTATTTGAATCATTCCCAGTAAGAAAGGTCTTCTTAATGTGAAACAATCTGCAAATAGTCTTCATCGTGGCGTTTCAACATAATATAAACTTGCCCCTTTACATATTAATAAAGCTATATGCACACACTACAAGCTTCCAACAGTAATAATGAGGCAGAATGGCAACCGTTACACAACTCGCAGATCTTGTTTTAACCCATCCACAGACCAAGTCCGTTCCATCCAGCAATCGACCCCAAAGACACATACATCAATTTTAACTTGCTGTTCATTCAGAATAGGAATTTTCTCAAATATAAATGAATATTGTTATATATTAGCATACTGTGCACATTTAGGCATTGCTTAGGTTAGGTGCTTAAGTTCTGTTGGTGTTTGTTTATATTTGTAGTATGGTGAAGCATTTACAGCGTTGTGGTTCGAACTAAAGTCGCCAGTGAAGCACTTGTTCCGGAAGTGTTCGATCATCAGTTGCGAGTCTTGTATAAACCGTTTTTCATTCATAAACAGGGGGTTTGGTGGGTGCATGGAATGGGCTTTGGGTCTTTGTTTGGAGGACAGGCTGCTTGTTCTTACCTCTGTTGACCCCGTGAAAGCAACCTTGTCAACATCCATATGTGAAGCAATGGCCGCTCCAGCGCTTGGACCATAGCCAGGGATGACATTAACTACACCTGCTGGGAAGCCAGCCTCTGCTACCAGTTTAGCCACATACAAGCCAGTCAGTGGGGTCTGTTCAGCCAGTTTCATAACAATGGTGTTGCCTGGAAAATATAGTTGGCATTACTTTTGCATTTGGATACTAAAATGGTAAACTAGTGTAAACACAATCTTCATAAATTATATACTGTACAACCAAAATTTGATACTTAAAATTTAAGACATTTAGGAATTAAACAAAAAGCTATAATTAAAATAATTTCAATACAAATGTATAAAAGACAATATACTTTTTATAAAATATTTACAATTACTGTACTTTCAACGTGGCATCAATGAATCCAAATGTTTAATGTTATTTGGTAAGAACAACAAGTTTGAAGAAGTGTTGATCTCTTCTGACGTTGATGCATTGCTCATACATAAATACAAAGGTTAATTTGACAATTTTACAGGTTTATGTAAATTAAAAATTTTGGATTAAATAGCATTACAGTAATTCTGCAACAATAACTGAACAGCTGATGCAGCCTGTGTCCACACTGGATATTTATACATTAATTTAAATGAACGAAATATAAAAAATGTACCAAGGTTAAGAACACTTTCAAAGTCACTAATGCAGTATTCTTTTTTGTTTCTGCTCTGTCCACAATATTACTATGCCATCATTTGAATGAAATTAAATGAATTGACCACACAAGGTCAATTAAATTTTGTTTCCCATTTTTAATGATTGCTGGCAAAATTGGAACTTCATTTACAAAAGGCCTGGATGCATTTGCAGGATTGCAATTCAGTCAAATTTGACTATTAGTAGTTTGGATAAGCGAGTGAGCTGCAACTCTTTATGCAGTTTGTTAAAATTTTGTAATTAAAGTGGTTTTCTATGTCTTTTTATCCTTTGCTGTTTGCAGAGTCTGGTGGTGGTGCAGTATCTACAAGTGGCCTCTTCTAGTTGTCACACCTGTTGGTTCTACATGAAGCCTGCAGGGGGTCTTCCCGGAAAGGTCGTGCCAGGGCTTGGGGTCATTCCCGTCATGGTAGGCCAGTGGTGCTAGTTTCAGAGACGGCGCAGCCTTCGGAACCGATGACTGGTAAGCGCAGTGGTCGCTCTGCTCTTAAGTCTGTTTCTCATAAGGGGCATCGGTCCATTCACGGTTCGTCCCGTTGAAGTGGGGGGGGGGGGGAAGGGGAGAGGGACGCTTGCGCTGTTTGCTCATGCCTGGTCCCACAATTTGTGGGCATTTCAGGTTGTTTCTTGCAGCCTGCAGTGGCATTGGGTGCCCCCCCCCCTCCCTCAGAGGGTTTGGGGCTGGCAGGGCAGGCTTCTGTGCTCTATTGGGTCATTTTGGAGTGGGTTCGCTTGGGCATGGTCAAAACGACCTCAACCCTCGGGTGGGTTTCCTGCCTGTTTCCAGTTCCAAACCAGGACTGCACAGACCTGCGGTTCATTCTGGACTTGTCCCGTCTGAACCCCTGGGTCTATTGCCCCTCCTTTCGAATGACTACTCTAGTCCCAGGTCCATCTTCTATTGGAGCCGGGCACTTTGTGTCCCTGGACCTCCAGGACACGTACTGGAACATCCAGATTCAACCAGGGGTTCAGGGACTGGTTAGGTTTTGTTGTTAGGCATCAGGCTTACCGCTTTCATTGCCTTCCACTTTGCTTGAATCTGGCACCTCGTGTTCACATACTTCATCCAGGTCATGGTGGCCCACTTGCGTCCGTTAGGGGTTCGGGTTCTAGCCTACCTTGACGACTGGTTGGTGTGGGCTCCCAGCCTATCCGCATGTCCGATTTGGTTCTTTCCCAGCTTGCCGGGTTTGGGTTCCTGGTGAACTGGAGGAAGTCCAATTTGGGTCCCTCTCTGGATCGGTCTTTACTGGGGTACAGTGTGGGACTCTCGGACCACTTCCTTGTCTCTTCCTCTGGCAGCTCTGCTCCAGCTGCAGTCTGCTTTTGCCTGTTTCTAGGTGACTCCAGGGTCAAGAGGCGGTTGCTCGAGGGTTTGTGCGGGAGTCTGAACTTTGCCATGTTAGTCTACCCGCCGGGTCGAGTTTGGCTTTGTTGGCAGTTCTGGTTCCTTCAGGGACGGCCCTTCCGCTTCACTCACGATCGCTGGGTTCACCCTCTGGGCACCTTACATTAGCTGCTACGTCGCTGGCTTCCTCTTCGTTTTTTTTTTTTTTGGAGTTCAGTATCTTGGTGCCTACCCAAGCTCTCGTTAGAGGTGTTTATGGACGTATTGACTCTTGGCTGGGGCTTTGTGACCAGTGCTCACCAGGCCGGCCAGGGGCAGTGGGGTTCCGTCCTTCCATCGGACCCACAGCATGGTGCGGGAGTGCGCAGCGTTATGGCAGGTGCTTCAGAGGGATCGGACCGCTTACAGATCGACGATCCGGTTCTATTCGGACTGCTCCCCAGTGGCTCCTTGTCTGAACCACGGGGGTTCAATGCAGTCCTTGGCTCTTTAGGGCTGGTTGCTTCGGGTGACATATGCCGAGTTCTCAGGGTTTGGCTTTCCTGGCTGTTCACACTCTGGGTATGTCCAACGTCCTGGTGGACGGCTTGTCTCAGTTCATTTCCCTGTCCACAGAATGGACTGTTGACGCAGACTTGTTCAGTTGGCTCTGCCGGACGTACGGGCTCCTGGAGGTGGACCCTCTTCGTATCGATGTGGTCGAGGCATCTCCCGATATACCAGTATGTGGTGCTCTTCCCCAACTGTGAGGTCGTCAGGGTCGATGCCTTCAAACAGGACTGGTAGAGGTGGGGTTTCCAGTACTTCTTTTCCCCCCGGGTCCAGCTGTTGCTCCAGGTTCTAGCTCGCTTGGAGACTTACCAGGGAAGAGTAGTCCTCTTGGACCCTTGGTGGCTGGCCCATCCTTGGTTCAGGCGCTGCTTGCTCGATGTTTGAACCTGGGGGTCTTCCCACGGCTCCGTCTCTTTCAGCAGATCGGGCCAGTCCATTATATAGCTGGTTCGATCTTCTCAAGTCTTCGCATCTGGTCTATCGCCATTTGTATGGTGAGCGGATGGCTTCATTGATGGTGTTCCACCTGCATGTCTCGCTCGGCGGGAGTATGAAGTTCCCTGGCGGTTTTGTGAAGGCTTTCTTCCTTCCTTCCTTCAACAGGAAAAGTCCTGTTGGCATTGGCCTTTGGGGGTCGGGTTGGGGAGCATGATGCTCTCCTCCGGCGCAGGGGTTTCTGCTCTTTTGGTCCTGATGGAAGGTTTGTTTGTTTGTTTACAGCAATCTCCTCCTCTTCTGGTGAAGAATGAGACTGCTGCTTTCTGGAGGAGTCCTTGGGTTGTTGATGCTTGGTTTGTTCAGGGTGCAGCATGTGTTGTGTCCTATTGTGGCTCTTCGCCGTTGCCTACACGCCATGGCCCCGGTGGCCAAGGATGCGCTTTGTGTTGACCCAGTTTCCCCGATTCCCTGTTCCAGGGCTCAGGTCTCCCAGGTCGTCCGCGAGGTTATTCAGTCCAGCCAGCCTGCGGTCTATCCTCATGCCCATGACGTTCATAAATTTGCTGCTTTGGCTGCCATTTTTGGTAACACATCTTAGGCCGACATTCAGGCACAGGGATTTTGAAGGTCGAACAGAGTCCTGGCCGCTCGCTACCTTGTCAATGTTCCTGGGCCTAGTCGGGCATGTGTCACTTTTGGTTGCCGATTGCAGCCAGTTGTCTCGACTGAGTTGTGGAGCGAGTGGTGACTGCCTCCCAGGAACGTCCTTGTTTTTGTCTTTGATCAAGTAGCTCCGTGGAGCCGAAGGGGGGGGGGGGGGCTTCCCCAGAAAACCAGCGTTGAATGCAATGAAACCATTTTCTGGGCAAGACCTGGAGGCTCCCAGGCAACTCTCCCTCCAGTCAGCGGTTTCGTGGGTTTTTACATCCAGCCTCAGAACTAACAGGTTGGATAGCTGACATGGGGAGTCTGGGGCTCCCCCTTCCCCCTCCCAGGGAGGGGAGGGAGGGGGGAACTGCGCAGACAGCTTTGCAGTGACGATTGTGACATGCTCGTTTGCTCATATTTCGTTTGAGGAGTTCTGTCTAACAGTTCAGCTTTCAGTAGCAATATTTTAACCAGATAGTGTTTGTTTTGGGGCACCTACCTTTCTGGGTGCCTGACCCAGTCAATGGCAGACAAAATGCTTCCAATCACATGGGGGGGGGGGGATTCTATAGGCAATTGCTTCTCGTGCCTCTGGGGAGGGGGGGGAGCTTCTGGTTCGTGGTTCCCGGTAGGCCTAGAACTATTCGCTTGACTGATGCCAGGTTCTAATACATCCATATCAGCCTGGATAGCTCCGGGGAGCCTCCAGGTCTCGCCCAGAAAATGCCATTTCATTATATTCAACGCTTTTTTTTTTTAGCTTAATTTTTTCCCAACTATAAAGTGAATAGTTGTTTAGTACATCAATGTATGTACTATGGTGCACAGTTACAAAAAGTACTATCTTACAGGAGGATGGGTTGGATTATCTGGCATCTACACCTATCTGCATTAATCAGTTTAAAATTTATAGCATAAAAATTTATATGTGCACTTTAAAACCTAGCATACAATTGCTTACCTTCATATTACCTAATCCATATTCACCAATACTGCACAAAGCAAAGGCTGAGGCTGCTTGTACTGTGTAATAATGAGTACCGTATCCTATACTGTAGTAGAAAGGAACTTTAGTGATACAGTAGCACTTTCAGCCTCCTATTTAATTATAAAGACATGCTTCAAAGTCACTCAGGTGGAGTATTTTCAAAATAGAGCAGTAATAATTTTGTATTATGTTTTGCAAGTTAAATGTTATCTCTCTAGGGTAATAAAGACACACCTGTAGCAAGAGCAGGTCCAAACTTCCAAGCCTGCATAAGAAGAGGGAAGTTCCAGGGGATGATCTGACCACACACTCCAATTGGTTCATGCCTTGTATATGCAAAGTGTGGACCATCAGTAGAAATGGTCTGACCATGAATTTTGTCGGCCCAACCCGCAAAGTAGCGAAGATTTTTAACGGTGAGTTCAACATCGACCGCAAAAGAATTCGTATAGGGCTTTCCATTATCAAGGGTCTCAAGACTCTGAAAAAAGGAAATTGATTCAACCACCACTCTTAAAACTTTAAAAGGAAAAATTATTTTGTGTAACATAAGAGCATACAAGCTCCAGAGAGCACTACAATGTTTTGTTGTGGTGAATCTTCACAACATATTGCACAGCTGGTGGTTGGTATACAAGTACTGTAGGGGCTTATAAAGTCACTTAGAAATACTGTACAGGACGTAGTGTTGCACACAATTCACATCTAACAGTAAAAAAAACAAAAATCCAGTTCCTAATTGAAAACAATTTATTTTTTTCCAATTCCTAATGTACAGTAATTGAATCCTTTCTGGTGGAACTCCGTATCTTCCTGTGCTATCTACCTGCAGACCTCCAACCGCAGGTACCACACACCAGGCTCTCCTGAATCTCTAGCACCTGCTGGAGACCAGTACCAAAATCTGGCCCACTCAATAGAGGCAAGGGTAGTCTGGGGGTACTAGATCACAGTAACCAATGGGGAAAAAACACCAGAATGGTAGAGTGCAACAAAACAAGCAGCTGCTTTAGCCATACTTGCAACCCTGATTCAAGTTATGTACAGTCAGTGTCCAGGTTTAACTGCTAGTTAATTCCACATACCTCACACAAGAAGCAGCTCTGGCAACCCCAGACCTAGGAAAATACTGCTAGGGAAGGCATAAACTGCCACTGGAACTAGTCTGATCATTAACACAGGAAAAACAGTTTTTGTCAGTACAGATGGAGGGAGTTACACCGTGAAGCTTTATTTAAGCCATAGTATAGAGCAGGAGAGGCTTTCCGCCTACTGTATAGCGTAATAAACCCAGACTCGCCAACCCACTGAAGCCGTAAATATCAAGAAAATACTTCAGTTTAAAATTCAGCTTGAAAAAAAATCTCAGGAATAATGGAAGGCTACTAGAAATATGGCCCCTTAGATACATTTGGGTAAATTGAATAGGGTTTTCATCAGCAAGCTGTGTGCCCATCCATGCCAATGCTGAAACTCAATAAACTAGTCCCATCCTGCCAACCTGTTGCTAGCAGTGACAGGATTTATGTTATAGGCAGTTGGCAAGGGCAAGGCCTATTTTGCTGCCATGCTTCCACCTGATACATGCTCAATGAGGTGGAAAGGAAATTGGTGGGCATTTTGATTGCTAGATTGGAGGTCCCATTGAGTTTTTAATATTCAGCTTGAGAACAGACTTTTCTAAACGTCTCGTCTTGGCCAGAAGGCTTATACCCCAGTGACTTCCTGCACCTTGTAAGTTCCTACAAAGGTGCTGTATGATTTACTTGTACCTTGTGTATCCTGCCTGGCTCCTGTAATCCTGATAGTGCACAAGATCACTACAACTTTAGGATTGGCAGTACAAGATACCTAAAAAGTATAACAAACCAAAGGTATCTAGTAGAAATATTAAATTTCTTATCAGTGGTAAGTGAACTATTCTAAATAGAATTCTTGGTGCACCTAGAGGCAGGACATGCCACAATCACTACCAATGGGCACCCAATCTTTGTCTGTGCATTAGTTGGCACCCAGTGTTTACTGCCTTGCACCAACATGTTATACAATCTATAGTTCTTAAATGTTTTAAAAAGGGGAAAAAAATTACCACTTACTGCTAGGTAAACTTTGTCACGTTCAATAAGATCAGCCAAACGGTATAGGAGGCGACCACGATCGCTTGCATCCATCTGCCGCCATTCTGAGTTGAGTTCAAAGGCTTGACGAGCTGCTTTCACTGCTTTGTCGACATCATCCTGTGATTGGAGGGAAGGCCTAAGTACTTAAAGTATTTATGCATAAATTACCTAACACCCTCACAACAAAGAACTTTAATGAAAACATGTATGCAAATTTGGAAGTACAGTACTGTATGCAAATATTAATACTGAAGTACAGTATACACTTTATGGAAAGGTAAAGCAAAGAAAATTGGTAATGGAGATACTGTAATGGAAAATGTCAATTGCATAGTGAGTGTGGGGTGTAATTACCCAAGTGTAATTACAGGATGAGAGCTATGCTCGTGGTGTCCCGTCTTCCCAGCACTCATTGTCATATAACACTTTGAAATTACCGACTGTTTTAGCTGCCACCACCACCTTGCCTAACTTGTTCCAACCGTCCACCACTGTTTGCAAAAGTGAATTTTTATATTTCTTTGGCATCTTTGTTTAGTTAGTTTTAAATCCATGACCTCTTGTTCTAGAAGTTTAAACGTAGGCCTATACTGTATACAAAGACTAAGAATAAAAGATAAATTATTATGCACAATACAGTACTGTACAACATAGTTATTAGAAAATGAAAAGTTTAAAGTACTGTACAATATGAAAACATATCAATACACAATAATTATTAGCCTAGAAACATTTAAAAACTTTTTACTAGGTGTAATACAGCATGCCATGCTGTCTTACTACAGTGTACCTAACTTGTTACTTTATCTACAAAGTAATTGTAGCTATCCACACTATTAAAATGAATATTTATTATACCCATTGTTACAAATAATATTGTGTTGTGGTGGGCTTCTATGGGGAACTGGTACTATTAAGGGGTAAGGGTAGTTAGAAGACAGAGTATCAAATATGGGAGAGCTAAAAGGCCCGGCCCCCAAAATAAACTATCCACCGTAATATTAATTGGCTACTAGACCATATATGTCAGTCTAAGGGTTGATCAATGCGCTCCCACACAGGAAGAAGGGATACTCTGTAATTCATGTACTTATTTATTAACCCCTTAACAACCCCCCATATACACTCACACCAATAACAATAATAATAACTTTACCACCCTATCTTACGTTAAAAGCCTTGGTCCACATAGACAGGATACAAGGTTTACACTGAGAACAAGCTAGGGTAAAGTACTACTGGATAAGCACTGAAGCTGGATGCAGCTTAGGGTAGTGACACCACGTGGTACCCTAATACAAAACACAACACTTAGGGGTACCCAAAACACTGGCAAATACTACCCCCAGGTCTCACCAATCGTTACTACCAGAGTAGGCACACTTAAAAACACCATACAGCACTTAACTTGATGGTACAGGAACTTAAGGTAAGGGAAATAAGTAAGAGGAGAAGGGAGGTGAGTAGGGGTGCAGCCACAGAGTAGGTCTCGTCCCCACGAACGCCAGCCAGAGAAGAACGCTCCTAGCGACCAGCTAGGCCTCCCGCATGTCGTGGTGCCGGAAGGAGCCTAATTGATCATGCAGCTAAGCACATTAAAGATCTTCCCCTATGCAACGTATTGTTACTTTACAAACGATTAGAAAGTATTAGTAAGCAAAGTTGGTGCCTATGTTATTATTTAATAATCAACCCCCCAGCTCAGTCTTTAAATGCTCTTTGAGAAACAAGAATAGTCTTACGTCGGGCAGGGAAGATACAAACAATTGCCGCTCGTGATGCACTCGACTGTACTACCAGAAAGTTTAATAGCTCAATTTTGACCTCTGGTTTCCACTGGAGAACCCAGGGTCGTAATACCCATTAAAACGTAAATCTGAGGTATCAAATAAAATAATATATGTTGTATATGCAGTGACACCTCGGCTTATGAATGTCCCTCTTTACAAATTTTTTGGGTCATGAACCCAATTTATTCGTAAAATTTGAATTGGATTTCAGGTTTTGCCTCGAGTTACGTAGTTTGTTGATACACATATGGGCGACCTAGTGTATGGTTCCTAGTGGCACGGTCGCCCGCGCTTCAGTTTACCAGTGTCTCCCGCTTAGTGACTATCGTACTTGAATTCTTTGTAAAGAATTTCAGTGTTTCTGCTTTTTTGGGTTTTGAACATAAAAGTATATATATCATGCCATGGGTCCCAGGAAAAACAGTGGTAAGGTTCAACCTAAGAAAACACACGTGAGGATGACCAGAGGAAAGTCAAGAGATCATTCGTAAAAATGAAAATAGTACACGGGTTGTTGAACTAGCTAGGCAGTACAACGAATCTATGTCAATGATATGCACTGTAATTGCTAAGAAAAAGGATATTATGAGTGCTAAAGTGGCAAAAGGCATATCAATAATCACAAGACAAAGAACACAAACATTATGTTGAAAGGTTATTAATTTGGATACACAACAAGGAGTTAGCAGGTAATAGCATTTCAGAGCATTTGTGAAAAAACAAGGCTATTACATGAAGATCTTATAAAAAAAAAAACTGGAATGAGTGATGCAGATACAAAAAGAGTTTAGGGCAAGCAGGGGATGGTTTGAGAAATTTAGAAAAAAAAGCAGCAGTCACAGTGTTGTGCAAGTTGTGAGTTGTATGTTGCGAGTTGGTGGAGGAACACGGCGAAGAACTGATGGAATTTTTTTCAGGAGAGGAGTTTAGTTCATTTATTATGCACCCCATGCCCATCTTGTGGGCAGTAGTGGAAAGTGTTACACAGGCACATAATGAGCTTAGGGACTGAACCCCACAATTCATTTAGCTGAGCCAGTTACAATCTTGATGAACTTGCCACAGAATTCAAGTAGTACAGAATGTCCTTTCCTCAACAATTAAGAAATGGTGTAGACTATGGTAAGAAATGCAAACTTTTGTTGAAACTACTCACCCACAGCAAGCTGAAATAGGCCATTGCCTCAACCTTTTTAATGACACTGATGCCTCACTACAGACAAGTGTTACAATGTAGGGAAAAAAGTCTGTATGGAAAGGTTTTTAGTAAGACAAGCAAACAGTGAGCCACAACCAGGTGGTAGTGGCATGCAGGCAAAACAGAGTACTCCAGAGAAGTCATCACTGCCTGATGTTATAATGGAAGACTTCCCTTCCAAACCACTAACACCTCTCCTCCTCCCCCCTCTCCTCACCATCTTTCCATATGCCAACAGGAGTCATCAATAAAGGTAAGCTATAACTTACATGCTATAGTACTAAATATTTCTGCTTATTAGGTATGAAATGTATTTTGAAGTTAGTAATATTTTTGGGAGTGTGGAACGGATTAATTCAATTTACTTATGGGAAATTTTTTTTCGATTTGTAAATTTTCGGGTTACGAACCGTCTCTGGGAACAGATCAAATTTGTAAATGGCGGGGGCCACTGTATATACATTGCGTACTTACATGTTCACATACCAAAGGGGTAAGGTCAATTTTTCAAATGATAATTAATTACTGGATAAAAGGACAATTAAACTACAGTACTGTACTGCATTTTCACTTGCTTCGTACAATACATCAGTGAATAGATATAATTACCAATGCATGTAACTACACAACAAGTAAAACAATGTGTGAAGTAGATTACACTTACTTTGGTACCCTCCTCCACCATAGTGATGACCTCTCCTGTAGTTGGATTGACAGTTGGGAACTGCTTCCCATTCAAGGATTTATGGAACTCATTATTGATGAAGATCTGAAAATTGCAATATTGTACAGTTAGTTGATATACAATTAAAATATGCACAGTATAGTTTATTTTTTTTAATGGAAGTACAGTACTGTACTGAATATTAATCCACATCTTCTGCTTGTAGAACAACTTTCCTGCTGTTGATAGCAAGTTGCCTTGGGAGGAGGAGAAAAAAAAAAGCCAGAACCTCAAGTCCTTTAGTCTAATTATATAGTGCAGAGGCAGTATATTATGGCTCATTACTCAAACATTTTATCCCTTGGTTCATAATGCTACTTATACTTAACCTGACACACTTAATGCAGTCAGTTGACAACCAAATGGTCCTGGGTTTGATTCTCAGGCAAGAGGAGACAGTTGGCAAGCTTCCTTTCACCTAATACCTCTTCACTAACACTAAAATGTCTAGGTGTTTTGCAACTGGTTCGAGTTTTAATTTTTTTTTTTTAATATTTTTGGGAACGGTAACCAACTACTCCGACAAAGGCCTTACGGTGGATGTGGTATACATGGATTTTGCTAAAGCCTTTGATAAGCTGCCACATGAAAAACTGACAAGGAAATTACAGGCTCATGGAATAAATGGTAAAATATTAGAATGGATAAAACAATGGTTGAAAGAAAGAAAAAGGGTCGTATTAAATGAGTACGAGTCTGAATGAAGAAATGTGATAGAGTGCCTCAGGAGTCCATTTTGGGGCCTGCTCTTTTTGTCATATACATCAGTGACAGGAGAATATTACAAAACCACATCAAATTTGCAGACACAGATTTATGGTAAAGTAGGAAATAATGATATTGAAACATTACAAAGAGATTACTGTACATGAACTCCACAAATAGTCACAAGACTAGCAAATGCTTTTTAATATCTACAAATGCAAGACCATGTATGTGGGGCATAACCCATGCTATGACTACCAAATTAATAACATTATATTAGAACAGATTGATGAAAAGGACCTTGGAGTCAAAATCCACCACTTGTTAGAATTTGCACAACAGGAAGGGCGCCAGTCAGAAAAGCTAACCAAACCCTTGGCATAGTCGAGCGTACTTTTGACTTTGAGAAAGTAATTATTCGCCTGAATAAATCTCTGGTACATCCCCATTTGGATTACTGTATCCAAGCATGGAGACCTCATTTTCAGGAGGACATTGATGGTCTAGAGAAAGTGCAACACCGGGCAACAAAAGTAATTGCCGAGCTAAGTCATGTCACGTATCAGAAACAGTTGAAGGCCACAGGGCTAACAACACTGCAGATCAGGCACAACAGGGCAGATCTCACTGAAACTTAAAATACCGATCAAGTTATAGGATGTTCATCCGGACAATTTCTTCAAAAGGTCAGATGTAACAAACAAGGAGCAATGGTTTCAAGCTCAACAAGCCACAATGTAGGACTGAGAACAGCGAGATGCTTTTTCATCTACGGGGTTAATAACCCATGGAACCGCCTACCCGCCAGAGCCGTTAATGCCAAAACTGTTAAGTTTTGAAATCTACCTGGAAAAGATAATCAAAGCAAATGGGGAAGAGGAGAATTTGACAAGCCACCAGCTTCCTGTCCTCGTCGAGGCCACTAGGGTTAGTGGCCCTCGGGAAAATCAGGTATCCAAGACCCATCACCGGTTTAGGGTAGACCACAATCAGCCTGACAATTTCCCATTCATTAAATCCATTGATAAATGTTAAGTAAACCACACCCATATACTGTATACAACTCAAATCTAATACAGTGGCACCTCGACTTACAATTGCCCCGACTTACGATAATTTTGAGTTACGATGTAAATTTGATAGAAAAATTGCGACTACTTACGACAGTTTCGTCGACTAACGATATTTGTTTGTACACGTTTGGGTCGACCGAGCGCGTGGTTCCTAGACATACGGGCCGACCTGCCTCAGTTTTCTTGAGCTGCCCGCTTAGTGACGATCACGCTTATAAGAAATTCTTTTTGTGGTGATTTTTTGCTTTTTAAACAAAATTGATTATTATATATCATGCCATGGGTCCCAAGAGTCAGTGGTAAGGTTCAACCTAAGAAAATAGTTGAGAGTAGAGGCAGTAGAGGATGTCCCTTCCTCATTAAGAAAATGTGTGAAGTATGGGAAGAACTGCAAAGTTTTGTTGAAAAAACTCGCCTAGATAAAGCTGTAGCAGGCCATTGCATTGACCTTTAAATGACAATGTGATATCTTACTACAGACAAGTGTTAAAATGTAGGGAAAAACAAGTGTCTTTAGACAGATTCTTAGTAAGACAAGCAAGAAGCGAGCCATAAGCAGGTCTTAGTGGTATGCAAGCAAAACATGCCAGAGAGTATCCCAGAAAAGTCCTCACTGCCTGATGTTATAATGGAAGGGAACTCCCTTCCAAACAGTAACACCTCTCCTCCTTCCCTTCCTCACCATCTTCCATATGCCATCAAGAGTCCTCCATAAAGGTAAGATGAACATATGTACTGTATTTTAGAGAAAAAAAAATGTATTCAGTATAAAATTTATTTGTAAGTTAATATTTTGGAGGGTGGGGAACAGATTAATTCAATTCCCTTTATTTCTTATGGGGAAAAATCGCTTCGACTTGCGATATTTCAACTTATGATACGTCTCTGGGAACGGATTACCATCGTAAATCGAGGCCTCACTGTACTGTACTTATCCTGTTATGCAAATTGAAGTGTGCAGCTCGGAAACCACTACATTTTGCCTGTTTGAAACCAATTTGCTGATACAGGTATATCAGACTGGAGATAATGTCATCCAGAAAATGAGCATGGAGGAACTGAAGAGTATAATTACAGGTATTAATAAACAGAGAATGTGGTGGGGCGGGAAGCTGGGCACATGGTGGAGTGGAGCGGGACGGGAAGCTGGGCATGTGGTGTGGAGTGGGGCGGGAAGCTGGGCACGTGGTAAAGAAGTGAAGCGGGGCGGGAAGCTGGGCACGTGGTAGAGTGGAGTGAAGCGGGACGGGAAGCTGGGCATGTGGTGTGGAGTGCGGCGGGAAGCTGGGCACGTGGTAGAGTGAAGTGAAGCGGGGCGGGAAGCTGGGCACGTGGTAGAGTGGAGTGAAGCGAGGCGGGAAGCTGGGCACGTGGTAGAGTGAAGTGAAGCGGGGCGGGAAGCTGGGCACGTGGTAGAGTGAAGCGAAGCGGGGCGGGAAGCTGGGCACGTGGTAGAGTGAAGCGGGGCGGGAAGCTGGGCACGTGGTAGAGTGAAGTGAAGCGGGGCTGGAAGCTGGGCACGTGGTAGAGTAAAGTGGGGCTGGAAGCTGGGCACGTGGTAGAGTGAAGTGAAGCGGGGCTGGAAGCTGGGCACGTGGTAGAGTGAAGCGGGGCGGGAAGCTGGGCACGTGGTAGAGTGAAGCGGGGCTGGAAGCTGGGCACGTGGTAGAGTGAAGCGGGGCGGGAAGGTGGGCACATGGTAGAGTGGAGTGGGGGGGGAGGTGTTTGGCATGCCCTGCGAGTGAAAAAACCCCCCACCCACTCCGCGAGTGAAAATACCCCCCACCCGCCCCGCGAGTGAAAATACCCCCCCCCCCCCACCCGCCCCGCGAGTGAGAATACCCCCTCCCCGCCCCGCGAGTGAGAATAACCCCCCCCCCCCGCCCCACGAGTGAGAATACCCCCCCCCCGCCCCACGAGTGAGAATAACCCCCCCCCCCGCCCCGCGAGTGAGAATACACCCCCCCCCTCCCGCCCCGCGAGTGAGAATACCCCCCCCCATCGCCCCGCGAGTGAGAATACCCCCCCCCAACCCACGAGTGAGAATACCCCCCTGCCCCGCGAGTGAGAATACCCCCCCCCCCCCAGCCCGCGAGTGAGAATAACACCCCCCCCCATCGCCCCGCGAGTGAGAATAACCCCCACCCCCATCGCCCCGCGAGTGAGAATAACCCCCCCCCCATCGCCCCGCGAGTGAGAATTCACCCCCCCCCCAACCCCGCGAGTGAGAATACACCCCCCCCCCCCCCCGCCCCACGAGTGAGAATAACACCCCCCCCCCACCCCACGAGTGAGAATAACCCCCCCACCCCACGAGTGAGAATACCCCCCCCCCACCCCACGAGTGAAAATAGAGTGAGAATAACCCCCCCACCCCACCCCACGAGTGAGAATAACCCCCCCACCCCACCCCACGAGTGAGAATAACCCCCCCCCACCCCACGAGTGAGAATAACCCCCCCCCACCCCACGAGTGAGAATACCCCCCCCCACCCCACGAGTGAGAATACCCCCCCCCCACCCCACGAGTGAGAATAAAGCGAGTGAGAATAACCCCCCCACCCCACCCCACGAGTGAGAATAACCCCCCCCTCACCCCACGAGTGAGAATACCCCCCCCCCCACCCCACGAGTGAGAATAACCCCCCCCCCCCCCACCCCACGAGTGAGAATACCCCCCCCCCGCCCCGCGAGTGAGAATAACCCCCCCCCCGCCCCGCGAGAGAGAATAACCCCCCCCCCACCCCGCGAGTGAGAATAACCCCCCCCCCACCCCGCGAGTGAGAATAACCCCCCCCCCACCCCACGAGTGAGAATACCCCCTCACCCCCACCCCACGAGTGAGAATACCCCCCCACCCCACGAGTGAGAATAACCCCCCCCCCCACCCCACGAGTGAGAATACCCCCCCCCCACCCCACGAGTGAGAATACCCCCTCACCCCCACCCCACGAGTGAGAATACCCCCCCACCCCACGAGTGAGAATACCCCCCCCCCACCCCACGAGTGAGAATACCCCCCCCCCCCACCCCACGAGTGAGAATACCCCCCTGCCCCGCGAGTGAGAATACCCCCCCCCCCCACTCCACGAGTGAGAATAAAAACGAGAATACCCCCCCCCCCCCACCCCACGAGTGAGAATACCCCCCCCCCACCCCACGAGTGAGAATACCCCCCCCCCACCCCACGAGTGAGAATAAAAACGAGAATACCCCCCCCCCCCCACCCCACGAGTGAGAATACCCCCCCTCCCCACGAGTGAGAAT